CGGGGAGGTGCGAGAGGCGCTGAGGGCAGCGGGAGGGATCCCGCGGCCGTTCCCCTGGCAGTGCCGTGCTCGGGGTCCCGAACGCCGAGTGTGTGGCCAAAGGAGTAAGGAGAGCTGCGGACCCTGCTGAGATGTTTCCCTCACGCTTTTCCCTGCTGTTCCCTCTCCTTTGCGCCCCTCGCTGCGAGGGGATCACTCCTCAGTCGCTGCTGGGTTAAGCTCTGCCTTAGCTGTAGTAAACGCGCTCAGTGTTGTCATTAATTAAGCTTTTGGCTTCTCTGCGTCTTCATCTCTTCTGGTTCTGAGCTCTGCAGCTCCACAGAGTCAGGTGTGTTTGTATTGAGACAGCACTGAACTAACTGCACTCACACTTAATTTACACATTCACTGTGTTCAGGCTTAGTATCTAGGGATTGAAAGTGGTGAACTGTGCTCATACTTAACATCACACATTAACTGTGTTCATGCTTAAAAGAGGGGTTAAAAGTGATGAATTGTGTTCATACTTAATATCACACACTAACTGTTCATATTTAAAAGAAGGGTTAAAAGTGGTGAACTGTGTTCATACTTAGTATCTATGGATTGAAAGTAGTTAACTGTGTTCATGCTTAATACCTAGGGATTGAAAGTGATGAACTGAGTTCATACTTAATATCACACACTAACTGTTCACATTTAAAAGAGGGGTTAAAAGTGATGAACTGTGTTTATACTTAGTATCTATGGATTGAAAGCAGTTAACTGTGTTCACACTTAATATCTAGGGATTCAAAGTGGTGGACTGTGTTCATACTTATTATCACACACTGTGTTCATACTTATTATCACACACTAACTGTGTTCATGCTTACAAGGGGTTAAAAGTGGTGAACTGTGTTCATACTTAGTATCTATGGATTGAAAGTAGTTAACTGTGTTCATACTTAATGTCTAGGGATTGAAAGTGGTTAACTGTGTTTATACTTAACATCACTAACTGTGTTCATTCTTAAAAGGGGTTAAAAGTGATGAACTGTGTTCATACTTAGGATCTGGATTGAAAGCAGTTAACTGTGTTCAGGCTTAATATCTAGGGATTCAAAGTGCTGAACTGTGTTCATACTTAAAAGGGGTTAAAAGTGGTGAATTGTGTTAATACTTAGTATCTGTGGATTGAAAGTAGTTAACTGTGATCAGGCTTAATATCTAGGGATTCAAAGTGATGAACTGAGTTCATACTTAATATCACACACTAACTGTTCATATTTAAAAGGGGGGTTAAAAGTGGTGAACTGTGTTCGTACTTTACATCACACAGTGTTCATACTTAATATCACACACTAACCCTATTCATACTTAAAAGGGGGGTTAAAAGTGGTGAACTGTGTTCACACTTAAAAGGGGTTAAAAGTGGTTAACTGTGGGACATACTTAGTATCTGTGCATTAAAAGTAGCTGTGTTCATGCTTAATATCTAGGGATTAAAAGTGCTGAACTGTGCTCATACTTAATATCACACACTAACTGTGTTCATGCTTAAAAGGGGTTAAAAGTGGTGAATTGTGTTCATACTTAGTATCTGGATTGAAAGTAGTTAACTGTGTTCATACTTAATGTCTAGGGATTGAAAGTGGTTAACTGTGTTTATACTTAACATCACTAACTGTGTTCATTCTTAAAAGGGGTTAAAAGTGATGAACTGTGTTCATTCTTAGTATCTATGGATTGAAAGTAGTTAACTGTGTTCATGCTTAATATCTAGGGATTCAAAGTGGCCGTGTTCGTGCTTAGTAGCTGTGGATTAAAAGTGGCTAACTGTGTTCATGCTTAGTATCCAGGCATTAAAAGTGGAGGCTGTGGTGCTCCCAGTGTGTCAAGACACATGTGGCTCTGGAGCCCTGTGCAAGCCCCCAAAAAACCTTTCTCTGCCCAAAAGTTTCTACAGTCACAGTGTTGTGTGTGATGTGTCACCACAGTTTGGCTGTGCTGTCCCTGCTGTGCCTCAGGAAGGGACTTTTTGTCCAGCCCCATCTGAATAATTATCTACAACCACTTCTCTGGAGTTAATGAGATGCCTTATTAACTTTTGAAGGCCCTGGAGGTGAATGTGTCAGTGGTTTGGATGAATGTGATTTCACCATCTCTGTTTCTTCTCCCTGCAGTTGGAAACGTGTATGGTACAGCTTTAGAATCCCCAAAGAATTATCTTCCAGCTTCCCAAACAGGATTGTGTGAGCTCTCTATGAAATACATCTCTCTCTCAAGAAAGCAAAGGGCTTTGTGTGAAAAGTGAGTGCTGGAAATGATGAAAAAATTCTCTTTCGGGTGCCAGTTCAGATTCTGGCATTGCCACTGATTGCTGAGCCACACTGCTCAAGGCAGGGATGTGAATTCCAGTGCCATGAGCCATAAATAACTTTTGGGATGTGTTTCTAGCTCTCAATTCCCTCTTGGATTTGTGGCAAGACTTCTTGGCCCAAATTTTCTTCAATAAATCACCTGTTGCCCTTTTTGGTGCTGGAAAAAAAATCCAAGACCAGTTTTTCCTAGGTATTTATAAGGAAATGGATATGTGTGTTGAGGGATGCACATTCAGGCCATTGATCTGAGCATCTTCAGAGCAAATCTGGCAGAAACTTTGGGTGTTCAAGTCTATAGACTGAGAATTCAGCACTGAATTATTTGTTGCATGAGAGCGATAAAGCCACTGTGGTGTTGCTCAATTATTGCTCTGTGTTTTATGTCATTGGGAAATTAGGTTAAAACTGTTCATGGATCCTTTTAGCTGCTTCACTTTCATAGGGGCCTGAATTCAATCCATCAGGCAAAGGGGTTTTATGTTCAGTGCTGTCTCCCATGTGCCAGAGGTGAGCAGATATGCCAAATAATTGTAAAGTTATTGGGATTTGGATTATTTCTGGGATAATTGGTCTGAGAGTTTGGATGTTTTAGGAAGATCAGAGCTTAGTGAGTGATGTGAAATGGATTTTGGGGGTTCAAATGAAGGAGCAGTTGGAGCTCCTGAGGTAATAAAACAATCTTGAGATTGGAAAATCCTGGAAAGCTCAGGCATGTGTCTGTGCTGCTGGGTGTTGTGGTTGGTGCTGGAGTGGGTCTGGCAGGCTGGGATTGATCCCAGGTACCTGCTCTCCCCTGGCCCTTCCCTGCTCTGGTGGATTCAGAAATAACAGGGAGTTTATCGCTGCAGGCTTTGTGCTGGAATGTGATGTTTCCATGGAAACACACCGAGATGCCTCAGCCCCGTGTGCTGGAGGCAGGGGCAGCATCAGGAGTGCGTGTTGCAGCAGGGCCAGAGGTGTGAGTTACAATAACCATTGGCCTGGGAGCAGTGACTTTGCCTTGTATTTATACACCAGCAGTTAAACAGTGCAAGCCTTGAGCCACACAAATCACCTCCAATAAACTGAGCAGAAAGGCAGGACAGACACCTTTCCTGCAGGGCCATAACAGATGGCATGCAGGTAATAAAATCTCGTTGGAAGAGCTGCTCCTGTCCTTGCATTGCTTTCTTTTAGGGCTCTAAGGCTCTCTATAAATGCTGTCTGCATCCTCTGAGTCAGTTGTAGTAGTGTCACAAGCTCCTAATTAGTCACTTTCTACAGGGTGTGGAAGAGAGGAAACATTTACATGTGAAGTATATAACAAAGTAGGTGATTTGGGCCTCTTAGAAACCATTTGAGCCTAGAGGAAATCAGTAGAAATTCCAGGTGATGGAAGTGAGTTTGGAGCAGTTTGTTGCTCGGGTTGAACTGTGAAATGAACTGTTGTCACCTCTGCCTGAGGTCAGTCATCTCAGTTAGCTCTTTGCACCACTGAGAGAGCTTTTGGGGAGCAGCTGGCTGCCCTTCAGTTGGAAACATGCACATCTGCACTCTAAAACAGAATATTTTGGCCCAGCTCAAGCTCTGTGTGGCATAGGGATCTTATTCTTAGGGAAAAAGCAGTGGCAGGTTGTATGGAGGAGGAATATTACAAGCAAAGCACAGCAATGTCCATGGGACACATTGAAATTCTTCTCAGAGGCTGCAGCTGGACTCAACTTCCCTAATGCCATCAGCAAAACAAACAGAGGAGCAATTTGGCCTGAGGATGAGAGAGAGGCAAATTATTTCCCAGGCACCTCTACTGGTCCCTGAACCAGGTGCTGAGCTTTTATTTCCATGTTATTTTTGCAGTAAATATGTGAATGAAATGCCTGAATGGAGCCCAGTCTGTTTTCAGCTTGGAGGACACTTCTTTTGCTGTGGGAAGTATTGTTGGCTCATTTCATGCAAAACTTTTGAGAACTGCTGAAGGGAAAGTGTCCTGTTGACTTCTTTGCTCACAGCAGTGTGTTGGGAAGGGATTTAAAAGTGGACCTGGGCAGATTTGACTTCATCCCATCCTGGCAGCAGGTGTGGCAGTGAAAAAAACAAAGGCAAATTGTCGCCTTGCTTCCTGGTTTCCAGCTGGTTCTTGTTGGTTTTTTCACCCTGTTTTTTCCTCTTTGATTTGCAGGTGGAAATGGCTGCAGAGGAGAGGCAGAAAGGTTGGGCTTCAAAGCAGCATGAGAAGGCTGAGCAGGCAGGGGAGAAGGAACCATGTGTGTTTCTGGGCCGGCAGCTGGGAGAACCAGGAAGATTTGCATATGCAGCACTTTGTGGGATATCCCTGGCCTGGCTGTTCCCTGAAGATGAGCAAAGGTACCACATGGGAGCAAGGGGTGAGCAGGGGAGGTCGATTTTGGGTGGGAGCTCAGAGCTGGTATCAGACTCTGTGTGGGGTGAGGGCAGTGGGAGGTCCTTTCTTACACCTTTCTTAGCAATTCACCTTCTGCTGATTTCTGATGCTTTGAGTTTTGTGTGAAAAGTAACAGGCCAATGTTTGAAACCTGGGACTGCATGAAGCTGGCAAAAATACCCAGTTGTGATACCTTAGCTGCTGCTGTTGCTTTACAGCTCCTTCAGGACCATGTTCATCGAGGGCTTTGTGAAATGGTTGGACCTGCCTGATGCTGTCCTCCCTGCCATGACAGCCTTTGCTGGGGGCTTAGGAGGTGAAGGCACAGAAACCTTCACTGAGATTCTGCTGAAGGATCCTATCTTGAAAGAACAGCCAGTTGTCATTACCCAGGTAAGTCTATGTGCTCCTCTCAGCCTTGTTTGCTTTGCCAAAGGGACTTGTCACACGTGTCTGTTTGCAGCTGAAGTGCTGTTTATGCAGTCAGGGAGATCTGATCAATACTTCTGATAGACGTCTGTTTCTGAGCAGCTGGGGAGGGCCTGGCAGTGTCTCTATCCATGAAGAGCACATGGAAGTGAGGAACACAAGGCACAGTCGCTCTCTGTTCAGTCAATGTTTTATGCCTTTGATGGTTTCACTCTACAGAACAGAACTGACAGACTTTGTACTTTGCCTGTATTATTTGGCAAGTGGTTTCTGCAGATTTTAGTGGCACACTGAACATGATAGACCTGATTTTCCCATTTTTAAAAGGGTTATGATAGAAGTGAACTTTCTTGGTCACCACTACCTCAGTCATCTTTCCTATCTCCTATTCAGGCCAAGAAATGCCTCAGAGAATCTGCTCTAAACATCCAAATGCTCCAATACCCAAAGTCCTATAACAGTATGAGTATAACAACAGAGATCTTAAGCTTAATTGATCACTTAAGGCAGATCTTCTACAATAAATCAGTTCTTTTGATGCTGTTTGCTCATAATCAATACATCCATGCTTGTTTTTTCTGCCTTAGTGTGTTTCTCAGGTTATTTCCTTCATTCTTTCTGCTTCAGGATGGATTCTCTACATTTAGACCAGTCTGCTTGCATTGCTGCTGAGTTTATTAAGGGTGAAATTTAGCTTGTGCTTGCTGAAGGGCTCCATGTGCTTGTACAAAAGTGGCTCTGGTTCAGCAAGAGCACATGGGATTTTGCTCTGAGCAGCTGTGGGAGGAATGACAGTGTCTCTATCCATAAAGAGCTCATGACAGTGATGGATATGAGGCACAGTCACACTCTGTTCGATCAATATTTTGTGTCTTTGATGGTTTCCCTCTACAGAACAGAGACCTGACAGACTTTTTGCTTTGACTGTATTACTGCAGTGGTTTTCATTCATCCTCACAACTGAGGATATCCCCTGGATTCAGGTGGAATACAGAAACCATGGATAACAGTTGTTTGCTTAGTGGAAAGCAAAGATGAGGAACAACTATCAGTCTAATGCTACAAGATCAATACCTTGCACAGTCATCCTCACATCCAAGGTGATTGATTTGTCTGAGGAAAGCCAGAATGAAAGACCTCAGGCAGCAGAGGTGTGTTTGGAAAAACATAAGGTGTGTGAGAAACATCAGTGCTAAGCTGAGATCAGCTTTTTTCCCTTCTTACCTGAAAATAAACAAGCCACAGGACAAAGCTTTATGATTTATTGATTGGTTGCTTTATGGCACTTGTGCTCCTTTGTGTTCAGCTGCCACTGATGCAATATTTACTGTTTACTTATTAAGTACCCACTGTAATTGCTTACTGTGCTCAGTGGCAGAGCCCTGTTGGCACTAATGCTGCATTTTTTGAAGGACCTTCATCTCCAAGGAGCTGAAGGGATGATCCATGAAGTCAGGAGATTAGAAGCGAGCTCACCATGATTCAATGAACATTTTAGGATTATGGATTGTTATCTTTGTGTTCATTGCAGATGACTAACACAGGCAGATGTTGGGAACTGAATCCTTTAAGGACAGGAGTCATACAGGCTGTGGGTGTGGTATGGGTAGGCAGTGCAATAAAAGAGGTGAAGAAGTGATGATAGGTGATAAAACATTGCAATTTCTTATTAGGATTTTTTTTGTCCTGAACATCCTTAAAATTCCCATTTTCTGTGGGTTTCTACACACATCCACTGTGATGTGGATTTAGTGCTCTCTGTTGTTGAGGAAATGGGGTTTGGATTTGCAGTAACCCAGAAAAAGTTGAAAAAGATTGAGCAAAGTTTGCTTCCCTTGCTTGGCGAGCCTTCTCAATCCTATGGGTCTGGTGCATAGGGACATTCAAAACACCAACTGCAAAATAAAACTGACATATAATAACTGCTGCTTGGTGGAAGAAACCCAAACCACAACCACTTGTGAGCTAATCTAATCAATGCTGGGTGGATTCCAGCTGATTGCATGTTCAGTACTTGCAAAGCCTGAACTAGACAATTTGAAAACGCTAATTGGCACAGATGCCAGAGTTCCAGTTTATCACCTCTGAGCATCCCTGACCTTTTGCCCTGCACGGGTGGTTTGATATTAGGGGCCACAGATGATCCTGGGCAGCTCACACAGGACCTGAACCACAGCTGCCTGTGCCTCACACAGGGAGAATTCATTGCCTGCAAACAGGCTCTGCATAAACCATCACCCTTTTCCAGGGGCTGCTTGTGTCAGCCTGTGGAAAATGATGGCAACAATAAGGTTCATCTTATTGTAGACTTCAGGCTCTTTGCTTGGTCAGGTTTCTGCTCAGGGCTCCCAACTCTGGACCCTCTGCCTGGGCTTTGGCATCTCTCTGCCAACCTTCCCCCCAAAACTGCAGCCAGGGAGGAGGTGATGGTGCCCATGCACCTAATTCCTAGGTAGTTACAGTTTTGGGGCTCTGGGAAACCAGAGTCACATCCTCTGGACTGATGTCTCCAATTCCCACATCCCATCAACCAGCCTGGGGAACAATCCACAATTTGTCCCTCTTCTACTTGGCCAAGGATGGTTTGTTCTCCATCCTACACTTCCCATGCAGGAGGGAAAAGATTAGAGACATTTTTATGATACAGACTGTGCTTAGGAGCTTACAGGACTAATAATCATAAACTCTTTGGCAGCCTCCTACATGTTTGGCTGCATTTTTTGTGTTCCCAGAGGGCCGAAGGATTCCCTGTAAAATTCAGCTGTGCTTTATTTGTGTGTAGGAGAGGGAAGCAACTAGACTGAACTGGTGCTTAGTGGAGTCACATAAAGAGCTTAAAATGTGTGCAGTGACAATAAAAGAGGAGAATACAGTAGTAAAAACACTGGCCTCTTTTTTTCGTGGATTTATCCATAGAAATCATCTATTGAATTGATTTGGTTTTATTACGGTGAAGAGCCAACACAGAAGTCAAGTCCCTCAGCCTTGACAAATGGCTGTAAATTCTGAGTTTTCTATGTGAGCACTTAATCCAAAAGAACTTCGTGCCAGTTCAGCCTTAACCCCTGGAGCTATGAATTCCCAGAATGCCAAAGAAAATAGGAGCCACTGGTCCATTAGAGGAACATTCAAACCTGTTACTCATGTTGCAGAGGTGAGTATAGATGACTGTAGAGGGAGCAGAAGGCATGAGAGTGGTAGAGAGGATCAGAGTCTCTCCAGACTTTGAAGTCATGTTGCTTTTGATTGCAACAGGATCATTAGTGACAAAAGAGATATGATGTTTCAGCATGTACCAAATATTATCTCCTTCTGTCCAGCCCTTTGTTCTGCCTCAGGAGAATTTTGTACTGGTTTTGCTCTGTGCTGCCTTGCTGAGTTAGAGCTTTAGAATCATAGAGTCAACCAGATTGGAAAAGACCTCCAAGATCATCAAGTCCAACCCTACCGGGGTCACTAGACCATGGCACTAAGTGCCACATCCAGTCTCAGCTTGAAAACCTCCAGGGATGGTGAATCCACCACCTCCCTGGGCAGCACATTCCAATGCCTGAGCACTCTCTCCATAAAAAAATCTCTTCCTAATAGCCAACCTAACCCTCCCCTGGCAGAGCTTGAGTCTGTGCCCTCTTGTCCTGCTGCTGGTTGCCTGGGAGAAGAGACCAACCCCCACCTGACTCCAACCTCCTGGCAGGGAGTTGCAGAGGGTGAGAAGGTCTCCCCTGAGCCTCCTCTTCTCCAGGCTGAACACCCCCAGCTCCCTCAGCCTCTCCTCATGCCACTTGTGCTCCAGTCCCTTCACCAGCCTCGTTGCTCTTCTCTGGACCTGCTCCAGCCCCTCAATGTCCCTCCTGACCTGAGGGGCCCAGTTCTTTCTGGCTTCCCATGTCTGTGACCTGAGATACTACAGTAATTAAATCTGTCTGATGTGTTTTCAAGCCTCCCTTTTGATCCCTCCAGGCCCACAGCAACAGTTTTAATTCGAATATCCTTTTTTTCTCCTTTTAGGACCTCCTATCCTTTTCTCTCAAAGATGGTAAGTTTACCAATCATTTCTTCTTTATAAGATAATGTAGGTGAGTTTCCACTGATACTTTAAAGAGCTCAGAAAGCTCCCAGTGCCATCTTGTTTCATCTCAGCTTCCTTGCTGCATCCCCCCCAGGAAAAACAGCTATTATAGTAGGAATGATTAATAAAACCCTTTGAAAACTGAACAGCTCTTCCTCTCCTTACATTCACACACCATTGCCAAGCAGATGCAAGTGCTGGTAGAGTGGGGAGGATTTTCTCCAGTGTTTCCAGGGAAGCAGGTGACCTCTTCCTTTAGGGAGGCAGTAAAGCTGTTATGAAGATCTCAGCCTAACTGATTTTTCTGCTTGTTGTCAAAAAAGAATCTTCAGGGTCAAAATTCCAGACTGTCCTGTGAAGCCCATTATGAATAGATGTGATTTTAGTTGTGTATTATATTACGCCTAAACCGATTTTTCTGGTTTGCAATCCTTAACATGGGCTGGTCTGATAAAATGAATGAAATAAAGATTGCCTACTGAACAGGATGTTCACTCCTGAAAGAGGCCTGGTTTCTATCACTGCTTGCCTTTGCTAAACCTCTGTGTTTTAACATGTTCTCACAGGAGTGCCTTTGCTAAACCTCTGTGTTTTAACGTGTTCTCATAGGAAAGAACTCTCTGCTTAGCCTATTTCACTGCAGAACAGTGAACCAGAACAAAACAGGTTTTGTTCCTGCTTTATTTTTAATGGAAAATTGACAAGTCAGTTATTGCAAAACTGCTTATTTTGCTAAGGTGGAATTTAAAAGGGCTATATTTCCAAGCCTTGCTGCCAAGCTGGCTAAGGAAGGGACTCAGCAGTGTGTTAGCAGACAGATACCAAGAAGGTGAGTGCTGGAAACAATTGCTTGAACTTGCAGGATGTGGCACATATCGGGAAGGAGTGAAGATAAATCCAATCCTTATTTCTCAACTAAGTACAAGTCTGACAAGTGATGTCATTAAAGGCAATTGAATTAGTCTGGTATCTTGGTAATGGTGGTAATAAATAAAGCACCCTAATAGATTGCCCAGTGCCTTATTTGATGTACGTGCAGCAGGTCCCACGCACAGCCTTTGTAGTTGGTCTTGGATCTTCACCCACCCCGAGACAAACCATAGTGTTTTTCACCCCAAAGTGCCCCTAGAACCCTTTATAAAAGCCAACATCAGGAAGCAGCAGGTGCTGCTGACAGAAACACACTAAAAAAGCAAGAGCTGGCACAAAGGATTTAAAATTTATTACATTTAAGATGTCTTTTCTTGGAGAACACCTGCTTGGAAGCCCAGGAGTAATCAATTCTGCTGTCTGGTACTGTCTGAGTGCACTGTCCACTCCTGCATCTCCAGCAGGGAGTATAGAAGCAAATAATTGTCAGTGGTGATGCTGGTGTGGAGCTTTACACTCCAGAGTGCCTCTCATTGCCACCAAGATGAATTGAATGAAAAGTTAATGCACAGAGGTGCATTTGTACACAATGCCACCCCTTGCATGGGTGCACAGTCAAGGTGAGCTGTGCCATGTTACTCTTGTGGATGTGTTGGATATTTCCAGTCAGCACTGGGCTTCCTGCAGCATTTCCCTATGAGAAGATGCACCAGATCCAGAGCCTAAAGGCCTCTATGACAGAGGATTGAGACAAAGGATTTGAGATCCTTTTCCTGCCATAGAAGCAATCACCTGGTGTAGTGACTCTGTTCTCAGAATGAGGTTTGCAGGGAAGAAGGATTTTCCATTTAGCACTCTCTTCTCATGTTGCAATACATGGAAGAAGAGGAGGGCCTGGAGGAAGGAGCTGTGATTGTATGTGGCATGGTCCAGCTGAGTGCTCTGCTCTCTGTCTAATCTGGTGTGATGCAGACTGACTGATTTCCTGGGCTTGCCTCTCTTCCAGGGTACTATGATGCTCGAGCCAGAGTGCTCCTCTGCCGTGTGTGTTGGCTGCTGAGGATCCCCCTGGAGGAGCTGGAGGTCATGGAGGAATCTCTGCTTGTGAGCCTGAATGAACAAAAAGTGGAAGAGTCAGAGTAAGAACAGTTGGGTTGACTATGGGGTCAAAAACCACTGCCGAGCTTAGCAGTAATTACTTGTGCCTAAGTCCAGTCTCTGATTATTTCTCCCCATGGCTCTTACTGTAATCATTTATGGCTTGATTAGGCGTGCAGAACTCTCCCAGCACTGAGGAGCAGGAAAGCTCAGCATTCTGAAAATCAGAGCTGAGACTCAACTTTCAAGCTGGTAAAGGCTGTTCCACACTGAACTCCCTCCTTTCCTTGCTCCAGCTGCCTCTCAGACACTGTGGGTTTTGCTTAAATACATCACAAAGATCTTGTGTCTCATATCTCTTGGTCCGATATCCTCCAGGTAGAATTGCCTCTTGCAGAATAAAGTTCCTGTAAGTATCAGGATTAGATCCTCAGCTGCACATTTTGTATGGATCTGTCCAACTCTGTGCCTGGTCAAGAGATAACTCCTTCCTGAAGTCTTCATCTTCAGATGTGTACAGACCTGATTCCTAATTCTGTGTTAGGAGTATTTAAATCACCACTTCCCAGATGTGAAACACCCCAAAAGTTGTTTCCACAAGAAAATGTAGTATCTTTATACTCCTCTTATCAGGCAGGAATTGTGTGATGGTTCAGCAATATGTAGGGCAGTAAATGTGTCCATAGTGGACTTTCAAGGGAAATACTTTTATCTGTCAACTCAGCAAAGAGGTTCTGAGATTAACCTGATTGCTAATAAAGGCTTTAATGGACACCCGTGACACAGAACACTTCAGATGTCACTGTGAGGTCCAGCATGGTTACAGCTGTATTTAAATAAACCTTAACTTTACAGCACACTGTAAAAAGGGAAAGTCAAAATTATCTCAAAGATTGTGGACTGCTCAACATTGGGCATGAGGAGCAAGGGTTGGTGTTGATGGGATTGCTTTGCTGTGGCTTGTGGAAACAAACACAGTCCTGGGCCTTTAAGCTGTGTCTGATAATGGCAAGAGAATTACTCTGTATGTGTACCAGAGTGGCTTTCAAACTCTGCTGCCAGCCCAGTGGGTTTAGAGTGTGTCTGGTGTGGAGAAATCCATGGTTTTCCATCTTGTTCTTTGCCCCAAATCACAGCCATGGAAGTAAATGACTATTAGATAAAAGGAAAAAGAAAAATGTAGTGAGAGGAGTCCAAGACAGCAGTGTGAACACATTGGTTACTGCAGGGCTAAAACAAGGCTGAGATTTGTGGGGACTCAATGACCCTTTGGCTTAAAGTCAGGAGTCAATGAGGAAAGCAGTCAGAATATAAACTTGTCACCACTTTGACCTCAGAGACCTTTGAGTTCAGGGAATACCAATGTGTGCTTGGGCTGCTTCCAGCTTTGACCATGCACTGTAGGAGCTTTGGAAAACTAACAGCCAAACAGGGGTTTGGCAGCTTCTGCACAGGTGTTTTTACTGATATTTGCTAACAGGAGTTTTTGTTCCTGCCTTTTCTGCTGTGGAGCTGTTGGATTAGGGCCCAGAATCTGCAAGATTTTATGTACATCCTTTATAGAACAATGCTCCAAGCACTTAAATCCATGTTACTAGCACCAAACATGCTCTGGCCTGCAGGTGTGAACCTCTTTTGTACACAGTTCTGTAAGAAACTGGAAAACATCACATCAGTTACTCACTAATGTGTATTCCTGCTACTTTTCCTTATTGGAAAATGACCTGAAATTCCATTAAACAATCTCTCTGAACATAATTTGTGGTTCAAGCAAGAAGCTGCACATCTGAGCTCACTGAGGCCAGAGAAGCAGCAGTTAATTACCACAGTCTGGTAATCAAGTGATAATGGTAATGGAGAAGCCATTAGGAATTGACTGCTGGACACAGCTCAGGAAGGGAAGCAGTGACAGGTAAAACTTCTCCTGGCAGTACTTCTCCTTATGGCATCTGCAGGCAGGGTTTAGCTGCTGCTGTCTTTCTTCCCAGATAACTCAAACTGCTCATTATTGCAGCTGAAGCCAGTCAGGTACATTGCAGCTCTCTTGTGGTCATCATTTTCAGCCCCAGGCACAGCACAGGCACTGTAAAAGCTGATGAACCACATGCAGAACATAAATTCCTGGGTACTGCCAGCTTAGGGATGAACAGTCTTAGGGAAGTGCAGCACTGGGTTAAAGAGCTCCAAGAGCAATTTTTCCCAAAGCCAGGCATTCAGATTTGAACTGCAGTGTTGGGTGTCCCCAGCATAAGGACATGGAACTGTTGGAGCGAGGCCAGAGGAGGCCACGAAACTGCACAGAGGACTGGAGCACCTTCCCTATGAGGACAGGCTGAGAGAGTTGGGGCTGTTCAGCCTGGAGAAGAGAAGGTTGTGTGGAGACCTCAGAGCAACCTGCCAGGAGCTGAAGGGGCTCCAGGGAAGCTGCAGAGGGATCTGTGTTAGGAACTGCAGGGACAGGACAGGGGGCAATGGGTACAAATTGAAAGAGGGGGAAATTTAGGTTAGATAGTAGGAAGAAGTTCTTCCTGTGAGGATGGTGAGACAGTGGCCCAGGTTGCCCAGGGAGGCTGTGGCTGCCCCAACCCTGGCAGTGTTCACAGCCAGGTTGGCTAAAGCCTTGAGCAACCTGCTCTGGTGGGAGGTGTCCCTGCCCAGGGCAGGGGGTTGGGGCTGGATCATCTCTAAGCTCCATTCCAACCCCTTAACATCCTCTGAAACTAGGACAACTAGGGCACAAAGTAGGGCATTCAACAGGACAAGAGGAAACAGCCTTGAACTGCACCAGGAGAGGTTCAGGTTGGACATCAGAAGGAATTCCTTCATGGAAAGAGTTGTCAGGCATTGCAAGGGGCTGAACAGGGAGGTGGTGGAGTCACCATCCCTGGAGGTATTCAAGGAATGACTGGATGTGGCACTCAGTGCTCTGCTCTAGTTGACAGATGGTGATGGGTCACAGGTTGGACTTGATGCTCTTGGAGGTCTTTTCCAACCTCAGTGATTCTGGGATTGGCTGATGGCCAAACACTGCTTTGTCCATGAGGTTGTAGGAAGCAACTGTGGTCCTATAGACATTGCTGAAGATGCTTTGTTCTCTGCAAACACATTTGCAGCTGCAGAAAGTGATACGTGATGGTTTTTTGGAGGATCTCTGTGGAGGCAGAGTCTCTGGATCCATGGGTGCCTCAGGGATTCACCCCCTGAGTTCTGTTCCCCTCCTGCTGCGTTTCACAAAGCCTCAGATTGTTTGGGACTCGTGTAAAATTGTCTTGATCAAAATTACAGTGTGCTTAGGGGCTCCCGGGAAGGATTAGGCAATTATATGGATAATGAAAATCCACAATTAGGCTAGGATTAACAGAGAAAATATCCCAGTTTGGAAGCAAAATAATCCTCACGTTTCCAGGCCTGGATTAACCACTAGAAGGGACCTTCCTCTGCAAACAGCATATTCCAGTATCCTCTGCTTCTCCCACTCTGACATGGGAAGTAAGAGAGAAACCAAGGACAGTGGAGAAAAGCCAAAAGTAGTGGCTAATAAGTGATGTTTGTTCCTTTTAGGTTTATTTACCTCCTTCTGATAAACTTGTTAAAACACAGCTTTAAAGCAGATGAGCTAATGGCTGTGTTTAGTTCCTGTTGTTGTGCTGTGCAATTAGAAAACAGTTCCATATAAACACTGTTGTCTGAAAAGTGTTTAATTGCATCTCTGTTATTTAGCACAAATTACCCCATTCCCTGTTATTTTCTGATACTTTTCCCTGTTTCCACTTAGCTTTCCTGTGGGGTTTTTTAAGCCACTTAGGCAATGCAAAGTTATTGAAATGCTTTTGACTTTTTGTTTCTTTTTTTTCCTTTACAAGCTTCAGCCCTATTAGGAAGGGTTTGCCAAGTAAGTAACAGCTGTTGGCTTTGGTCAGCAATTAAGTCATTTCAATTTAAATCTGTGGTCCATTTAATCCATTCCATTTCAATCTCTAAATCCATGCTCATAAATCCCAGTGTGTTGTCACAGTCCACACCTGCATGTGCCTTTTTACTCTTCCCAGGAGGGGAATTACACTGAGAAGAATAAAAGCAGATTTTGATGCAGCACTATTATCCATCAGGCTTTTCCCTCAGTTTTTTTGTGCTTCTAATCCCTCACAGAACTGCAGAAAACTCGAGAAGAAAGAAAGAGAGAAGGAAGAAGCTGAAGAGATACATGTTGATCGGGCTGGCAACTCTTGGGGGTGGAACAGTGATTGGTGAGGCATTTTGGAGACCTGAACTGCAGGCACAGCACTAGGGGCAGGAAGGGATCTGAATCCAAATATTTTCAGCCACACAAATATAAACCTGAAAGAATTAGCTGGAAAAGTTATTCCAGTCTAGCTTCACTGAGTGGGGAAATATTAAACTGAGGTTGTCACCCTTAAAAATATTTTCTCCTTTGCTCTTGTGTTGTAATAGGATCAGGTCTTCACTCTCAAATCAGAAGTGTGAGACTAGATCAATATTTCCTGAGCAAACAGGGCACAGCTCATCCCAGACTACCACACAGTCTTCCTTCAACTTTGAAATGATTCATTTTCAATGAAGTCAGTCAAAGAATTTGGGCAGCGGATTTGGGCCTGGGGAGGGTCTCAGAAAGTCCCTTTATTTTGGATGCAAAAAAGGCTGTTTGTGCTCTTCCAGTAGCATTAGCAGCACTCACCCAGCACAGGGAAATGCCTGCCTGAGTTTTGTAAGGAATAATAGTCTGGTGGTACCCCTTGTTTCATCCTCAGGTTTGACAGGAGGCCTGGCTGCCCCTCTGGTTGCTGCAGGAGCTGCCACAATCATTGGAAGTGCTGGAGCAGCTGCTCTGGGATCAGCTGCTGGGATTGCTGTCATGGCATCCCTGTTTGGAGCAGCAGGAGCTGGTCTTACTGGTAAGAGAGTGACCACACAGTTCTCAGCCGCTGAGCCACAGCATCATGTCAGCAAATGCAGAGCTAATGACTCCAGTGAGCTCTGCAGAGCAAGAGAAGTGAGCTGAGGTGTCATCTTGCCTGAAATTTTAATTTCAGTGCTGATTAAGGCACTCCGTAACTCCTGATGACCAAGCAAGGAGAGGATATTTGGGGTGTGACTAATGAAGGAAAGGAAAACTTGCTGCTGTGGGTTAAAAACATGCTGCCATGCACAGCAGCAAAAAAAACCAACCCTTCTGCTGGGTTCCCTCAGATCACAAAAGCTCAGGAGGATCATGTTGGCTCTTTACCCTGCTCTAAGTCATGGACTGGCTGAGGGGTTTGGAAAGGAAAAATCCCCTATCCAAATTACCCAATTAATTGCTTAGGAACTTCTGCTGTTAGCAGAGTGTGCCCTTGCTGTGCCATTTCTGAGCTGTCTCTGCCTGGCTGTGTGTAGGATACAAGATGAAGAAACGTGTGGGAGCCATAGAAGAGTTTGAATTCCTCCCACTTACTGAAGGGAAGCAGCTTCACATCACCATAGCAATCACTGGATGGCTGTGCACTGGCAAATATGGTAAGAACACAGCAAGGAAACCAAGAGGAGCCTGGAGAGATGAGGCTGTGTCCCACTCCAGGGACAGCACCATGTCTACCTCATATTTCCATGGCCTGGTAACTAAACCAGGTCATCTCTCAACAGAAGACTTTGTAACCCAATCCCAGGCAAACAGAGGAAAAACAGAGGGCAGAAAATGGGCAGTGATAGGATTGGGAGCAGTTATGGCAGGATTGTTTCTGTTACTAACTGCTGCATGGCTGGGCTAGGGAAGGTCTGTTTGGGGTGGGTGATTTCCAGCACTAGCATGAAGTGTCTCACCTATCTCCAAGACCTTATGTTTGTCCTCCAGCAATTAACAGAAAAGAGTGTGTTTTCTATCTCAGTACCTGCCAGCTAATGAGGCTTATTGGCAAGAAAGTTGTGTCAAGTAAATCCTGTTAAGCACAGCACTCAGGAGGTGACTTAGGCAGTGACCTTGAAAGGTCTGTAGTGTTTTATTTTCCAGTGTAGCTTGTCATATAAAATCTGTCACTTGTCTGCCAATGTATTCAGCAACCTGACTGAACAGCTGCCAATTAGTGGAGAAGCATCATAATTAACACAAGGTATCATAAATGCAGGAGGATGGCTCTGCCCTGTCACTTGTCACAGGGAGGTTATTATCCCTTGCTGTCACAGGGAGGTGATTTTCACTTTGCAGTACTCTGCTTTGGCTTCTCTCATTGTCTGCTTGCCAGGGGTCCAAATCCTCAGGGCTGGAGGACTCCCAGGCACTGTTAGAGAGGAAAGTGTTCCTTCAAGAACCTTTTTTGTGTCTGTTTGCCCTTAAAAGGGAGTTACAGATGACACACATTCTTCTTCCATAACTAGCAATCTGCTAGGAGGTTTTAAAGGGCAAAACTAAATTGTCATCCATTTTCCTCCTTACTCTGTGTCTGTGTACTCAGAGCTTCAACAGAGGGACTGGGGATGGGAATTTTAGGGAATTTGCCACCTTGTGACTTTGGAGCTGCCAATCTATGTGTTCTCAAATCTAACAGTCCAGTGTGGGAAAACCTGGCATGAGGCTCTTGTGACACTTTGGTGGCAGGTGCCTCAACCTGCCCTGCATTTTCTGGGGTAGGAACAGTGTGGGAAGGGCTTTAATTAATTAAGATGACAATTCTGCTCTGCCCATCAGATTGATCCATCATTAATAGCATTGCTAGAATATTCCAGTGTCCTGCAGGGTCTGTTCTGATTCTCTGTTGGGCTCCTCTTGCCAGGAGTCAGTTGTTGTTGTGTTCTCTCTGCACATGAATTCCATCTTTCCCAGGGAGCTTCACAGCACCTTGGAGAACCATGTTGCAATCAAAAGAGCAGTACTGTCTGGCCTGGGAGTCTAAGTACCTGATGGAGCTTGGCAATGCCTTGGATTCCCTGCTGAATGGTTTTGTGAACATGATGGCTCAGGAAGCCCTAAAATTCACTGTCTTGTCAGGTAAGAACCTAAATTGCATCAGATCTTCTTTAGTGGCTCTTGTGCACTTTCCCTGTTAAAGGAGCTTTATTACAGAAGGAAGATTTTGAAGGAGTTTGCACTGACTTTGGAGTTTGGAGGAGTTTGGAGTGTTGGCACTGCCCTGCAGGAGTAACCTGAGAACCTTCTCTACCACACCTGTAATTTAGATGAGCTTACCTGGATTGCTGTGCCACTTGTGTCATTGAGTCACTCTGTTAAAATTCCAGCTGGAAACACCTTCCTTCACGTGTGACTGTGCATTTCCCTCTGTCATTACACCATTTTACTGCAGCACATAAACCTCTCCAACACGCAGGTGACACTCACCCACAGCTCTGTTTGCCTCATGTTAGAACATCAGATTCTTCCTTATCTCTAGTCTAGCAAAGCACTTCTCAGAGCAGCTCTTGAGAAATGAGAACTGGAAATGACAAAAGCTCCTAAGATTAGCCTTTAACTTCAATGAACCTTCTTGCTTTGGCTGTTTCCTAAGAGCAGCTCTGATCTGATGGTGCTGTTTGCTCTGTGTGTTGCAGGGATTGTGACAGCCTTGACTTGGCCAGCTTCACTCCTGACTGCTTCCAGTGTCATTGACAACCCCTGGGGAGTGTGTCTGCATCGATCTGCTGAAGTAGGCAAACACCTTGCACACATCCTGCTCAGCAGACAACAGGTAATTGGCCAGGAATTAGCCAGGAATAACGGTTGGAAGGGAATTGGCCCCTGGAGGTTAAGTTTTATAGTCATTGCTAGTTCACTACTAAGTGATATCTTTCCAGGGAGACAAAAATGAATGAAATAAAGAGTGTTGCCTGAAGGTGACCAGCAGGTGACTGGTTCATTGGGGAAAAAGAAGTCCCAAGTGGATCAGAGAAATCCTGGTGAGATTTGATCCATAGAACCTAAAGCTTTTCTAGATGAGGAAGAAGAGATCCAGGTTGTAAGTGACCAACCATGTCACAACACAGCCAGGCCAACTCACCTAGTGGAAATGTTGGAGCAGGAAATAAGAGTAGGTGGAAAGGAAAGGAGAATACAGAGTGGTAAAAATATTAATTAGCAATTAAGAGGCAGCCAATGCACTGCAAGTTATGGCTCTGCCTGCAGTGGGATGGGCTGGTGCCTGAAAGAAGTGACAGAAGCTATTAAGTCTCCCTGAAAAGGCTTGAAAATAGACATTTCTGCCCCTCAAAAACCTGCCATCATGTCCTGGGCTGTCACTGGGTTTTGCTGGCCACATGTTCATCTCACAGCACATTAGGCCATGCTGATGAGAGGAGGAGCCTGAGGGGAGCTGTGGCCTCAGGGCTGTGTATGACTACAGTGTGCAACAGCAGAGCAGAAACAAACTTGATTTCTTATAAAAATCCAATCCCAGGAAAGGCAATCAACTTTATTTCATACAAACCCTTTGTTTTGCTTGGAGGCATTTGTTACTGCCTGTTGAGCATTGGCTGTTGTGAAAACACACATTCCAGTGTGTCTAAAACTAGTTAGAGTGATGTCTAGGGTGTCCATCACCCATCTGCTCCCTGATTTGACAAAGGCCATTTTCCACTGTTGTTTGGATTAGGCTCCCTTTGATCTTACAGAAAATCTTATTAGGCTATTCAAAATACAAGCTGAAAGCTTAAAACCCTCATCATGTTTTATAACCATCACACAGTGCTGCTGTCACTCAGCCTGCAGTCTAGAAGTGGTCAATGGTTTTTGTATCACAGCTTCTTCATCTATTTAATGAAGGATCTATAGGAAAAATTTGCTCCTTGTAATTTCCAAACAGTCATGGATTCATCAAGGTTGGAGGAGACCTCTAAGATCATCAAGTCCAACCATTAACCTGTCACTGCTGGAACTCCTAAACTAAATCCTCCAGCACCAGATCCAGACACCTCAATGACAGCGTCTGGTTTGGTTCTGTTTGGAACATTCCTTTTGTTGTTAGTTCTGATCATTGGAGTCATTCAAGTGATTTTCTGAAGATCAAGACATGCAAATTACTCATCTATACAGAATTCTCCATTAGGCATAGCTTTGAGGGGACATAATCCCTTTGAAACCAACCAGATTGCTCAGGTGTTTTGAAGATGATGCACAAGCAGATGCTCTGTGTCTCAGGCTCTTGGGGATCCTGTGGTTAGTCTCTCTTTCCAGGTTTGGAACAGTATTTGATGGAATTCTCCTTTCCTTCTCTCTCAGGGCAAGAGACCTGTCACACTGATTGGTTTCAGTCTGGGTGCAAGAGTCATTTACTTCTGCCTGCAGGAAATGGCTCAAGAAAAAGGTAAAATTCACCTTCTAACCTTTTCTTCCTTACTGCTGGTAGAGTTTTGCTTCCCAGAGGAAGAACAGAGCTTGGCTCTTTAGGGTAGGAGAAAAACCTAAAGAGAAGGGTTTGAAATGCCTTCGAAGCCAAATTCCACTGTCATTTCTCCCACTTCAATGGATCAAATCCACTGTCCTCACTCAAGGTGCTCCAGTGGGTCAGTTTGCTCTCCAGTCTGTAAACAACTTGACATTTTGTGATCAGTCTGTAGCTGTCCACGAGCTGCTGGGATGCAGCTCAGGATGCTTTGCCTTTCTTGGGAGCTCTCTGCAGCTCTTGTGTCTGATTCCCTGAGTCCTCCCTTCCATTTAAGTCCCTGAAATGCCACTGTCATCTGCTATTTTCATGGTAATTTCTCCCCAAACTCAAGTCTAAAACCATCTGTCGATTTATTACCCATTGTGGTTTTGTTTATTAATAGATTCTATTTTTAATTTTTTTTTTGGGGGGGGGAAATAAGCCTAAAATCATCACGATCAGTTGATGGAAATTGTATCTTGGAATTGAGTCAGCAGTGAGTGTGTGCATGCAGCCTGCCTTCCCCCCACGTAGCCATTGAGCTCATTACCTATTTAGCTTCACAGAATTGATAATAAACAAGGAGTTTTATAAAGGAAAATGGCCAATAAATTCCAGGAAGGTGGGAACAGAGTCAGGTGTGGATGGACAAGGTCAGCATGGACATCTGTGTATCAGAACTTCACTTCTGCTTTAAGATGTAAGTCCTCAAAGACAGGAATTCTGCTCTCAAAATAAATCTAATCAAATCCAGAATGATCCTTATGGAGTTATACTGGAGCCAACACTCAAATCCTAATCTGGCTCTAGATATACACTTTTTATGCCCTGAGAATGGCAGGGGCTGAGATATTTTCAGGTCTTTATTTAGGTCTGTGCAGTTTCCCTCTGGAATAGCACAGTCCTGTCACTCAGTAGGACGTGGGAGGGAAGCATTAGGGGTCTGGAAGGTTGACTGCCACTCCAAGGAAATGGAAGCATCATGGTGATGTCTCAGAGCAGCTCCCACTGTACACTGATTTTTCAGTTCCTTAATTGAATTATAAAAGCTGAGCTGTTTGTGAGATGAAAAGCAGCATGTTCAGCACAGATTGCCAAGGATTCTTCACAGGCACATTCCAGAGCAAGCCACAGAAGGAGTGGAACTGGGACCTGGGACAGCTGAGACTGATTTGGGTTTGGACTTGGATGTCTCACACAAAAGGAACACACGGCCTAGTTGTACAGAGCTTTGGATCCAGATGGCAGTGGCATTTCTGAGGACAAATAACTAGTGATGGATTAGCCAGAGAAACACCATGGCAGGGACTCAAGTTCTGTTCAAATGCTTCAGTGCAAAGCAATGAAATAATAACCTTTGGGATACTTCATCCCCAGTGATTTGGGAGCCAGAGCCCAGCAGGTTTCCAACAAATGCCATTAGAGCAGAAGATGCAATAAATGAGCCATGAGAGACAAGTTACTGCAAGTTACTGGAAGATCATTGCACTGATTTCTGCATTGTGATTCCCATGCATTTGAGTAAATAATTAGCAATTAGCAAACTAAAGCAAGTTGATAATGACTGTTACCACCAGACCCTGAACCTTGAAACCCAACTGTGAGTGGCAGGAATGAGGTATCACTCCCTGGGTGTTTGTGTGGCACTGTTAATCAGTCATATTAATCAACTTTTAATTTTGGCCCTTTATTCTCACTTTGTTACCACTCTGTTCACACCTGTTTGGACTTTATTGGACATTTTCCTTTATGAAGCTCCTTATTTACTAGCAATTCTCTGTGAGGCTCAATCTTTACTGACTTTTTTCCTGCTTGTGCAGAATTTATTGTTATTCATCATCTAAAAGAGCTGCAAACTGTGAAATACATTTGTCTCAAGCCTCAACAGCTATGCAAACCAGAAATCTGTTCCCAGGTTTCTATCCCCCTCTGTCTACCTTCAAAGAAAATGAGTATTTTTCAGCCAAGGCTAAACATTTCTTGTTCTAAGGAAGAAATAAGCTGTACAAAGGACTGGAGAAACAAAAGCTGCCAATACCTTGCCCAAATATTCAGGATCTTGATGAATTAGCTGTTTGTTTATTCAGTTGGCTCACACTCTGGCCATGGAATTTAGTACCTTGGTTGGAATGAGCTTCCCGTTAGGAAGGCTTGGGGTTGCTTTTTGATTGCCCATGATTATGGAAACAGGGCTTTATTGCTCACAGATTACAGTAACCAAATTGAATTGCTCCTTGCTCTCTTCCATTGGTGCAAAATTTGCTTTGCAATAAGAGATAACTCCAGGAGAGCTCGTTTGGATTCCTGTCAGGCACTGGGATTTACACTGTGAAGAAGGATGCAGGCTTTGCAGGCAGCTCCAAGCCTTTCCTGCTCTCAGGAAAAAGGCAGCTAAGTGATTTACATTTTAAAAGTCTAGTCAGGCAGCACCTCTGATGTTTGGTTTAGCTCAGGTCTGGTGGACTGTGCTCTCCCACAGGTGCAGGGTATGGATTTGGAATGTTATGCCCATGAGTATCCCAGGATATGTGTGCCATGAATTCCACTGAACTGCTGTGGCATCAGGGAGCTTCACCTCACTTCACAAAGATTTAGGAAAGATACTGATGGGTTGTTCAGGAGGTTAGGGAAGTGGCAGAGCTGCCCAGTAGTTCTCATTCCAGTATTACTTCTACTGAAATTGCCTGGCTGCAGCTGCCTGATAAGAGAGGACCATTTATTATGCCTAAAAGTCACCATTGCTGTTCTGTAAATCATGCTCTGGGCATGCAGCTTACAGCAGCCTTCAAGGAAATCAAACCAGTTTGAGAGATCATCACTGTGTGTTGACAAATACCTTCGTTGTTGCTAGTTCCTAATCAATGGTAAGAGTTTGGGGCTTTCTGTTGCATGTCCAGGTCATGTTTTTCATGCACTCAGCTCCAAGGACTGGTTGTGGGAAGAGCTGATCATGCTTCATGTAGGACATTTGCTCACACCACAGAATGTCAGCCCCTTTCCCCTGTTTCAAAGCTCTGTGCAAACCCAGATCAATAATAAAGAACTTTCCAGAGGTCTCCAAACCTTTCCAGTGGTTTCTGCTGGAACAGCATCTTTCTGGATGGAGGCCAAGCCACTTCTCTCTGCTGCCATCAGCCCTTTCCCTGTCTCAGGATCTCTGATTTTCACACTTACTGGCTCCAGCTGTAACTGTGGACACTTAACACTTAGGCAAAGTTGTATTTATGTTCCTCCTTTCCATTGTTTCTACTTTCCCTCCTGTATGGAAACAACATTCTGCTCCATCTCCTAAATCTGAGCTGTTCTGCTTTCACCTTAACAGACTCCCAAGGGATCATTGAAGACGTTGTCTTACTGGGAGCTCCAGTGGAAGGAGAAGCCAAGTACTGGAAAGCTCTCACCAAAGTGGTGTCAGGCAGGATCATAAATGGTTATTGCAGGTGTGTGCTCAGTTCTTGGCTTTGTTAGCCTTGAAATGATATTGTGTGTTTATCCCTTTTAAAGCCTTTGTAAGTGAGTAACTGGTGAAGATGTTGATTCAGGAGCACCAGAGCCAGCAGTGCCACAACCTCCTCCCTCCAGAGGTCTCTCTCTCAGGTTGGTTGGAGGTGACAGGCCCCAGGAGGCACCTGGAGGCTGCTCTGTCCCAACTCTTGGCTGTGGGACCCTAAGGTGCTCCATGTGTAGGTGCTGTTCATGCATTTGCACTGTTCTACTCCAGTAGAACTGGGCCAGTGTGTTTGTGTGCATGATCTAATGGATGCTAAACCCTCTTAAAATCTCACTTCAAGTAAAGAACTATAAATACAGCCATTAAATTCACTGACTTAAGGAATGGCAACTAAAATCTATCAAGACACAGTTCACTTGGGGCTGCTCGTGGGGAAAAAGGTGTGAAAATCACAATGGAAGGGAAGGAGCTCCAACAGATTGAAAGGTTTTATATCTCCAGGAAGTTTCTGGTCAAGACAGTCCACATGAAAAAGATATTTTAGTTCCAAAGGAAGATTAGCTGGAATAGCTGTAGTAAGCATGTGGAAGAATACAAAGGTTACCTTAAAACCAAATATCAGCCTTTTAAAGCCAACAACTGCTGTGCAGAGTGGTGAGAAGAGGGAGGTCCAGAGGCCTGAAGCAGCCAAAACCAATCTCAGAAAAGCTGTTAAGAATTCAAGTGACAGCATCAAATGTAATGACTGTGTGTTGGAAGAGAATAGTGGCAGGAACACTGCTTCCCAGCACAGTTAGATAAGGGGGAATTAAGAAGAAGGAATGAAGCAGGAAAGGCTAAGAGCATGGGGAAAATAAACTGAGAAATAACCAGGCAAGAAGATTAGCAATTTATGTCCCTACAACTCAAGGCATGAACCCTTGGGTCAAGGACAGGTGAAACTGCTGGTGGTGTTTTCCATACACACATCCATGTGGATGACTACACACCTATGTGGAAGGTGAGGAATTATTGTCTTACTTCTAGCAGAGTATATTAACGGACAAAGAAGAATTAACTATCTGAACTAATAGTATTCAAGGTTAAAACATCGAATTATCAATCCTATCTGTCAGTTTGGCTACAAATTTTGTCCTCTGTGGATCACAGGAGGTTTTAGCATTGCTGGATGTGTGCACCACTTCCAATATTTCTTCATGTGGCATAAGGAAAAAGCAACTGCTGCCTCCCTGGGAGTGCTCTGAGTTCCTCCAACGAGCCATAAATGATAAAAATCATTGCATATGACTGAGTTTACCTGGAAAATATTGTTCTTCCCTGTGTCCTACAAAAATCAATTTCACTGCAATAAGCTCAGAGTATTCATTTCCTATAACACATACCAAAAAGAAAAAGATCTTGTAATAGTTTCTAAGCCTTTGTGTGCTGCTGGAATCAAATAGAATATGTGTGTGTAGCTCTGTGTGTGGTGATTTGGCAAGCTCAGGGTTTGGATGCTGAATGGAAAGTGATGTAGAAATTGTGGCTTGTTGCTCAGAAATAGGAAGAAGCAGGTGAGGAGATGGTCAGAAAATCTGACACACTGCAGGTTCTCTCTCTTTCCATCAGATGCTGAATTTGTGGGGTTTTCAGGTGGCACAAGGAGCAGCCAAAGGAGGGAAGAGAGAGATGTGGGGAATTTGTGTGAGGATTGAGGTGAGAAAAGGATTATACAAACAGTTCATGGCAAGACCTCACCTGAGTCTGGTTTCTCTCTTCCCTCACTTCTCCAAAGTGTGGCCTCATTCTGTCACTTAGGAGTAACTCTGTTTGGGTCAGATGAATTGCACTGAGTAGAACTCCTGCCGGATCAGCTTTGAGCCCGATTTGTTGAGCTTCAGCCTAGTATAACTTCTCCTTTGAAGTCTGAAAGGACAGGATGGGTCCAAACCCTGTCAGAGCTGTCCCTTCCCATTTCACAGCAGAGTTACAAGTTCCTAGTGGGAAACCTTACCCAAGTGAGTTGGACTCACTCAGCTTTTGAAAGAACCTATGTCTGAGCAGGTGGATGTGGTGTAAGGGTTTTGCAGAGCTCTGTGTACACTTACAACTCCTAGTATCGACTGTTTGGATAGGAGCAGCCAGAAATGGACCCCTGTGCAGGAGCATTTCACCTGCTGCTATCCCAGAGTACAAATCCCACTCATATCCCACTTAAATCTACTCTGTATAGTGGCATTTAGGTGCTCTGATTTTATGCTGTTGCTCAGCACAGAAGAGTTATGTGTTCCCAAAGGATTCCTTCTCTCCTCGTGCCACACTCTACCCTGGAGCTGTCACAGTGACTTATGGCACTGCTTTTGAGTGGGAACAAGTTCTTCCTAGTTCTGTCACTGAAACCATCTATTTCTACAGTGCCTATAAATCAGGAGCACTCCCAGGAGCTTTACAGTCAATATTTATGTCACAACATCAGTGTTGTAGGTCTCATCACCCTTACAGCTGTCCATGGGCTGGAGAACTTGTACCTGTTAGTACATTCAAAGGATGAAATATGTGAATGCAGTGCAAGCTCTGAGAAAGACAGAAATAAATAGAAGGGTCAGATCTTTAAAGCTGCTGTAGGTAATGAGAGTACCCCCAGGAATCAGGATTAAGTTCAGACCTGCACTCCTGTGTCCCAGGAACCTGCCCTGAACCTGGCAGGTGATTCCTGATGTGGTTCCTACCTCACACAGAGCTGCAGCAAACATCACTGTGCTCCCAGCCCTTCTACTCTCCTTGTGGTCTGAGGAACTGTTCAAGGCCAGGTTGGATGGGGCTTGGCTCAACCTGGGCTAGTGGAGATTGTCTCTTCCCATGGCAGGGGGTGAAACTGGATGAGCTTTCAGGTCAACTCAAACTGTTCTAGGATTCTGTGATTCTACACTGGCAACAGGATTTATTCCCACTCTGCTCTGCTCCTAGGGGAGATTGGCTGCTGAGCTTTGTGTACAGAACCTCCTCTGTCCAGCTCAACGTCGCAGGCCTCCAGCCAGTCGACCTGGATGACAGGAGGATGGTAAACATGGACCTTTCCTCTGTAGTAAGTAGCACTTCTGATATTCTCAGGGGTTTTTTCCATCCTCCTTTGCTTGCAGCACTGTATCCCACACTCACTGGGGAGGGGAAGCTGAAGAGAGCCCCTCCATGCACATTGTCCCTCTTCCCTGTCTTTGGGGAAATTCTCATCTCAGACTTCACTCTGGAGTTTGTTGGCTCAGCATTGAGCAAAGTAATGAGGCTTTGCCTCTCCTGTTGGATATATTTGGGTTTTTTGGCTCTGACATGTCTCATACTGGAGGCAGATGATGTCATTATTCTCCAAGAAGGACTTTGCTGTTATAGAATCATGGAATGGTTGGGTTGGAAGGGACTTTAAAGATCATCTAGTTCAAACCCCTGTGAGTCTGGACCAGCAGGAAGGGGTGGGATCAGGGGAAAGTAGGATCAGCTGGAAAACGTGGAACTCAAAACACGCGACTGCAGTGCAGGTGCAACCCACAATCTTATCTTGGTGGAGCCTTCAACACTGCTCAGGTTCAGGCAGGAGCAGGTTCATGGGCTTTGTACCTTGGTCCCAGGGCTGCCCCAATGCAGAGCAGGAACTGGTTTGTCACCAGAAGCTCAGTGATAGCAATGTTTATTTTGCCAGGACCTGCTGCAGTGTGATCTCCAGGAAGCTGGAAAGGATTCATACTATGTCAGGGAGTTGGAATGGACTTTAGAGATGATCTAGTCCCAACTCCCTGTCCTGGGCAGGGACACCTCCCACCAGATCAAGTTGCTCAAGGCTTTACCTAGCCTTGAACACTGTCAGGGTTGGGGCAGCCACAGCCTCCCTGGGCAACCTGTGCCAGTGTTTTACAGGAACATTCACCCTCATATCTACATTTTCTTGTAAACATTGAGTTGTAAACATTGAGTTGTAAACATTTAGCTTCCTCAAAGCTCTCTGGTGTCATGAATGATAAGCCAGTATTGGATACATCCAGCAATAGTCAACTCAATTACCCTAAGCAAACTCATCATCACATTGCTGTCTCCTGAGTGAGCTCTTCCTTGGAAAACCATGCAGAGCTTAGCTTGTGTATCCATAGCCACAGAAATCTTGGACATGCCATCTTGTCTTTCCATATATTAATGTTTTCATTCATGTCTTCCTCTGTGCACACTGGGAGATGCTCAGCACATAGCTCAGGGTACTTCCATGGTCATTGTTCCTGCCATGACTCTTCCTAAATGTCCCCACAAGCTGGCAGGGACTGTCAGTGTTGCTCTGGAGCCAAAGGCCCTTTGAAGAGCTTTCAGATTTTTTTGGAGCAGCAGCCTGCAGAGCCTATAAATACCCAACTGTTCCCAGCTCGTTTCATTCATTAGAAGTGAGCTGTGCACAGCCCTTGGCAGCAAACACAGGGCTTGGTGCTGAGCAGAGAGGAGGAACAAAACATGAGCTTCCAAGAGGAAGGGGTGCAGTGGAGGCTTTTAAACATGGGCCAGCACTTATATCTTTGCATCTTTTGCTGGGCTGTCAGCATTTCCACACCCTCCCACATCCATTTTCTCACCATCCCCAGAACTGCCATTAGTCACTTGCTCTGTGATATCTGTTGCTGGCAGGAAAATGGCCAAAGATGCCAAGCAGTGGTGGCACTGGGGTGATATTTTTTGTTAGCCAGTCCCTGTTACTCTCCTCTTTTTGAGTTCTCCTCAAAGTCCCTCTTTCTACTGATGCTCTGCTGCCTGAATTGTGACCCCCACCCAGAGCTCTGCACTCTTGATCTTTGACTTGCAGCAGCCTCTCCATCTCCCTCAGAGGAGCAGGATTTCCATTTCAGCTGGATGAAAAACGTTTGCAGAGCTGCTCTCTGCTCAGCTCCTGGTGCTGTGCATCTCCATCCACACTGCCTGGTGCCAGCAGACAATCCCAGAGCTGCTCTCCTTCAGAGAGAGCTGACACTTCCTTCATCTCACTGCAAAGCTTTGGGGGCAGAAATGTCTAAGTAGGTGTCATTCTTTTGATCCATTTTCCAGACCATGGAGCTTTATGGAAAGTGCATTCTGGTGAACATTTCAAATGTAAAAGGAGCAAGAATGGGACAGGAAATATCCAGGGGCAGTATTTTTTGTCATGGCAAGAAAGCAAAGATGGGTTTTGCTGCAAGTACAGTGCAGGAGCATAACAGAGAAATACATATATTTAGAGAGAGATAGAGATGCTTTTTGTGAGGAACAGCTTCATCCCTGCAGATGCCCTTGCTGGAGGTCCCTGTGAGTCTGCTGCCAGGAGAGGGACAAGCTGTGATAGAAGAGTAAAGCATAGCTGGTGCAAAGGTGCTCAGCATGAAAGCATTTTGCAGGCAGCTTCAGTATTTTTGGCATCTCCCAGTCCATCCATGATGAAAACTGGACTGGATCCAAACAGCTTGATTCTCTTTGCTGTGGTAGCACCAGAATCCTCAAATGAGCCCTCAGAATAAACAGGAATTCACCTCTGAGGCCTCTATCTCATGTCTCCCTTGATTAGTATGGGGTTTATCTGCCTGTCAGTTCAAAAGCAGAGAGAAAAATGTCCTCCCACTCAGCAAATGCAGTTATCAAATCCTTCCTCGTGGTTACAATGGGGCTAATTTATACATTGGATTTATTTGACAGCACCTGTTAGAGAGCAAGGAAGTGGTGGAGCTGCAGTGTATTAGCCTGATTGCTGTTTGTTCCCAGGGAATATTGCAGAGCTGCTCTGAGGCAGAGCACAGGGAGCACTTTCAGGGAAGCTCACAATTCAGGAATGGGTGTTTTTGTTTCTCTGGGCAGTTTTACCACAGCAGAAAACAGGGATGAACTTGCAACCTTAGGGGCAATGGAAGTCTAGTGGAGAGCAGGGATGGATCATAGAATTGTTAAGGTTGGAAAAGCTCTCAAAGATCATCAAGTCCAACCATTCCCCCAGCACTGCCAAGGCCATGACTAACCATGGCCCCAAGTGCCACATCCACATGGGTTTTAAACCCCTCAGGGATGCTGACTCCACCACTGCCCTGGGCAGCCTGTGCCAGTGACTGACCACGCTTTCCCTAAGGAATTTTCCCTAATATCCATCTAAACCTCCTCAGCACAGCTCGAGGCTGTTTCCTCTTGTCCTGTCACTTATTACCCTGGGGGAAGAGATCAACCTCCACCTGGCTCCAACCAGTATTCCCATCATGAGGGAAGGCAGATCCAAGGCAGCCAGGCAGGCACACAGCTTACACCAGTACCATAAGCAGGTGAAAAGTCTTGAATTCTCATGGAATCCAACTGATTTGGCACTTGTGCAAGTCAGACTTTTCCACAAAACACATTTAACTGTGTATTTTCACACTGTATTCCCAAGACTTGAAAGAAAGAATTAGTTGTGGTTACAAAATGTGGATTAATTAAGAACCCTGGGGAGTTCAAAAAGCAAAAGGTTACAAGTGTCTCATTACTCCTTTTGTTCATTCCCTTGTTTCACTTGTTCCCAATGAGCAGTGCCACCTCCTGTGGTTACAGGCAAGGACAGGATCAGAGGGGAAGAGCTTGGAGCAGAACTTGACTTCAGGCAGTGGTTTGAAGGAGCTGAGAGAGCCTTTCCCACACTGAGGGGACATGCAGGGATTTGTGAGAACAAATCTGTTAGGCTCTGAGGTCCCAGGGTTAGTTCCTACAATCCTGGAATCATCAGTGGCTTCATTTTCTGTGCTCCTTCCTGCTGTTGATTTGGGACCCAAGGGACCACAGTGAGGGATCTGGTCCCACCTCCCTGCTCAAGCAGGGCCATCCCAGGGCACAGGATTGTGTCCCGATGGTTCTGGAGTATCTCCAGTAAGGGAGAATCCACAGCCTCTCTGGGCAGTCTGTGTGTGTGTGTTTGAAGAAGTTCTTCCTCATGGTCAGGTGGAGCTTCCTGAGCGTCAGTTCCTACCATTGCCTGTTGTCCTGTTGCTGGGCCCTACAGAGCAGAGTCTGCTCCATCCTCTGACACCTCCTGCAGACACTGATGGACATTGATCAGGTCCTTCTCAGCTGTCTCTTCTCAAGGCTGAGCAGCTCCAGCTCCCTCAACCTGTCCTTGTGAGAGATTTTCCAGTCCCTTCAGCATCTCCATAGCCTCTGCTGGACCTGCTCCAGGAGCTCCATCTCTCTCCTGTGCTGAGGACAGCACTCCAGATGTGCCTCACCAGGGCTGAGCAGAGGGACACCTTTGGAACTAGGACTGTTCCTGCAAATCCAGGCACTGCAGACTCCATTCCTGCCAGGTCTGTAGCTGTTGGCTTTGCAGGCAGCTGTCCTCATCCCACAGTCCCAACTGGAGCAGAGCTGCCAACAAAGCAGTGGGAGTTTTCCCTAAGTACTGTTAATGTTTGATCCTGCAGGAATGGCTACCCAGAGCCCAGGAGGGTGAATTAAGGATAGAGGATTCATCCTTTAATTTCCTGTCCTGTGTTGGAACATGAACAGTAACTGTATCATTTTTCTGGTCACTCTGAGCAATGTTTCTGACCTCCTCAGAGAACATGGAAACAAAATTACACCACAACAGCCAATTAAAAGTGTTAATCAAGGGGAAGACTGACTTTGCTGACACATTGTGTACGTGAGGTTCCCTCCTGGAGCACAGTTTAAGCTGATGTGTCTGAGCTGGTGCAATTAGAGCAGCATCAATTACTGATCCAAGCTGAAACACCACAGAGGTGTCACTGCCCCAGTGACACTGGGGGGAAAGGACAGGCTCAAACAGGCTGCAAATCCTGGTGTGGTGGATTTGTAGGAGATGGCATAGCTGAGGAGACACATTGCACTACTCCACAGCTGCTGGAATTTCCCAAATGCCCAAGACTTCTTGCCCAGACACATCATTGCTCAATAAAGGAGCTAAGGGATGAGTAAGCTGAGAACAGATTGTTGTCCCCAAAGATGGCAAAGATTCCCTCAGTGGCCTTGTTTTGTGGAGCTGAGCTGAGAAACTGGTTTGAAAGCAGAGATGGTAATGTTTCAGCTGCCAAATCTTGTGTATTCCCAAGGCAAGGTAAGGAGAGGAAGGGTGACAGTCCCTTAGTCGTCCTCTGCTTCAGGCAGGTCCTGTGTCCTCATCCTGCTTGTGAACACAACCCAATCTCCATGTTTTCCTCTGGAATCCTGACAAATTCTCCATAATCAAGGTGGTCACAGTCCCAAGCCTGACAGGGCTCAAGAAGCATTTGGACAACACTCTCAGGCACATGGTGTGGTGGTTGGGGATGTCCTGTGCAGGGACAGGAGCTGGACTTGGTGATCCTTGTGAGTCCTTTCCAACTCCAAATAGTCTGTGGTGCTGTGACAATCCTGATGTGCTCTTGTTTGTAATGTCAGTTATCTGCACTCTAAGCTCTTTTTTCAGCCACACTCCAGTCCAATATATCAATCCACTCTCTACTTTTGTGCTCCCTTTTCTTCCTGTTCAAATTATTCCCCAGCAATAATGACATGCACTGTTTTTGTTGAGCTTTCTAAAACCCTATTTAAACCATCCAATTTAAATCATTTCCACTTGGCTTAGCACTGAAAAATAAGTGTTTAATTACAGCCACCTTATAAACCAGTAGCAGTGGCTGGGGAGGGCATCAGCCAAAAAGTAGCCACCAGCAGCTCCACAAACAGCTGGAAAACTCATGGAAGCAGCTAATGCCTTCAGTGGGATGGCTTGGAGTGCTGTGTGTGGGAGCAGAGGAACATTTGGGAGGGAACCTTTGCCTTGAAACTCCTTCAGGGACTCTTGTTAATTCAGAGTACTAATTCCTACCTTTGTCCTGCCTGTTGTCACTGAGGTACAGCTGCTCTCCCTCTCCACCCTTAGGGCTTCATACTTCCAAACCTTCATTCCTCCATTTACTTCCTCTGTTTTCTTGCTACATTCTGTATTTGGAGCCACATGCACTCTGTGTTGGCTGCTCAGGATCAGTGGAAGAGCTTTTATTGCAGGACACTGGGCAGGATCTTGGCTCTGGAGTGAGCAGTGAAGTCTTATCTGTGCCATGTCGAGTGATGTCTCTGTGACACTCAGTGTTGTGATGGAGTGAGTCCTGCCTGTGCCCACGTGAGTCTGTGGTGGAGCCAGGATCACACCTAGTGCCTCCTGGTCCTTCCTCATCCTCCCCTTGGCAGGCTGTTCAAGCAACCCCTCTGGGACACACTGTGTCCCTGTCTGAGGAGAGAAGCTGGAATTCTTCCTCTGCACCCACAAAACCATTTCCCTGTGAATTTCTAGCCACAGCTGATTGTGCTCAGTGATATATTTGATACTTTTGGAGTGGAACTGACCTTGAAAACCTTTCCAAACCTGCTGAGCTGATGGCTCCTTTCTGCTGGCTGGTCAATCCCCTGAACAGTTCCATCAGAGATCTCCTGGAGTCCTGTGGCAGGAACAGTGCCAGAGGCAGTTGACTTGTGTTTTCCATGACTCAAGGCAACCATAAAGTGAGATACAGCAGGGGAGAAGTCACCTCAACACACCCATAAACCCACCCCTTTGTTTTCATTTCCTTGTGACAAGCATAAAGAGATTTGCTGTGGTGCCAAGCAAACTCTTCTGTTGATCCTGAAATTCCTCCTGCACTTTGTTCTGACAAATACCCAAACAATTCTTTCTTTCCCTTTAAAGTTTTTATTGACAATGTTGCAGATGTTCCCTACCCAGTGGAGGAATTTAGCCTTTCAGACTGCAGATGAAAACAGGCTTTGGAGAGCTGGAATTGTTGGGGTTTCCCACCAGGATGGCCTCAAAGTGGCAAAGCAGTTTGTGTGCTGTTCTTATGCTGATGGGTCAGTGCTTGATGTCACAGTGCAGCTGAGAGGAGTCCTCCCTCCTCTTACAGTTCTCAGGGCTTGCCCTGGTCCAGCTTTATGGAATCCTTTCCTGGGCTGCCCTGGAGATAGATAGGAATGAGTTTCCTTGGAAGAGATTTAGCGGCATTAGCAGAGCTGCAGTAAGGGACAGATTGCAGGAGGTCTCAGCTTCTCATACCCTGTGTCCCTCAGGGATTGTGGTGCTTAAGGAAGAGGAATTCCTTGTTGTTTTAGTGGAAGCTGCTGGAGACTGAGGAGTTATGAAACTCTGGTGCTTGGGGAGGCAGAGGAAATTTGTTCTCTCTGACTAACAGTAACAACAGGCTGAAAACCCCCAAGCAGTGCCCAGGGCAGGCAGGTGGTGGTGCCTGGAGAGGTTCAGAATGCAGCAGACCAAGAACCTTCAGCCACTTCTCCCAGTAAGTCCAGTTCCTCCTTGTCTCTCCCCACCTTGCCCAGCATTGTGCTCCTTTCTTCCTTTAGCACTGATCTCTCTGCCTGAGCAGCCAAAGGTTTGTACTTTTCCAAGAACAATGTCCCCAGCTCACAGTCCCTCCATGGTCGTTTTAATTAACTCATCTGCTCAAAACACCCAGAGCTTGTTGAGCCATCTGGAGGGATTCAAGTCACATCTTGTATTCCTGATGGGCTGATTAAATCCTTCACTTTGCTCCAAGCCCTAAGTGCAGCCAAATGTTCTCCCTCCAAAGCTACAAACAGCTCAGAGGTTTAGATTTTGTGGAGGAAACGTTGGCTTTGGGAGAGGTGTGCTGGGAACCTTGAGTGTGGCACAATGGTGGATCACAGAACCTCAGACTGGTTTGGGTTGGAAGGGACCTTAAACCTCATCCAGTTCCAACCCCTGCTGTGAGCAGGGACACCTTCCACTAGCTCAGGTTACTCCAAGACTTGTTCAACCTGGCCTAGAACACTTCCAGGGATGAGGCAGGTGAAGAACTGCTCTGGCACCAGGCAGGAGCCAGCAGGAGGTGAGCAGAGGGTCTATGGCTGGTTTCTTTGCACAGAACTTTCTTACCATCATCATCCCTTCCTGGGGCACTCATTCCTGTGGCTGGGAAGCAGAAATCCTGGGATGGTGGTATCAGGTATTCTCTGCTGCTAACTCCCTGATTACTAGCAAAGTTTGAGAAAACAAGAGGCTGAGACATCTCTCTGGCTGAGTCAAGCGGGGTTGGAATTACTAGAAAGTGAATTTGCCAAAGATGCTGAAATATCTTGGGATGCTGTTGGTACATCAGGTTTGTGTGGGACACCTGGAAGGGGGAAGGAATTTCTGCCTCTCCAGCTATGTAGCCTTTAGCACAAACAACAATCCCTTGCAGAGGGTGTTTCCACAGAATGATTAAGGCTGGAAAACAGCTCTGAGATCAGGACCAACCTTTTATGTCCTCCTGTGTCCTTCCTGGAAGGGCACATTCCACCATCCATCTCAAAAGGCTTTATCTTATCATGGAAATCATCTCTCAAGAAAAACGTCTGGGGTTGTGCATATACTTTTATTTGGTTTATGAACCCATAACTCTTTGGGCTCCTGTTTTTTTTTATGGTGTGGGATGGAGCAGTGCAGCTTCCAGCCAAGAACCCTAATGCCCTTGGTAGCTGTGTGAGATTTAATGACTATATCCTAATTAATTAAGATAATCTTGGCTTTTACAAGGTTGCTGAGGCATCTGGAGGAGATGTCATTTGGCACAGAACAGGGAGCTGAGCTAAGAGAATTCACATCCTACCTGGTGTCTTACTGGGGCTGATCATCTCTTACCCTCATGGCATGTGGGATGTGGGGGTTGTACCTCAGCCAGGTCCAAGCTCCTAAACATCTCAGAGGGGAAATAATCCAGCAGCAGGTGTGCCTCAAAGGCTGCTGCCAGCTCAGGCTGTGCAATGGACAGCTGCATTTATCCAGTGGTGAAAACACCATCCTTGGAAGTGTTCAAAAACCACGTGGATGTGGCACTTGGGGACATGGTTTTGTAGTGCTGGGTTGGTGGTTGGACTTGATGATTTTAAAGATCTTTTCCAACCTTAACAATTCCATGATTCTCTCATTTTCCAGTCTCAGTCTTTCCACCTGTCAGAGCCAAACCCAAGTCTCTCAGCAGTGTTGGGCTGAAGGACTTGGCTGAGTGCTCCCCTGGGTTCTCCACTCACAACAAGGACTCTTGTTGCCTGCAGGTAAATGGCCACCTGGACTACATGAAGCAAATGGACACGATCCTGAAAGCTGTGGGCATCAAAACCAAGGAATGCCAGTGGGAAGTTAAGGACAGAAGCAGAACTTGCTCCCTTCTAACCAGGAATTCCCAGCAGGCAGCAGGCACAGAGGCTCTGGGAGAGGAGAACACGGCACGAGGGGAGGATGAGGCAGAGGGTGAGGTTCTCCCAACTGGCTGTGCTCACCAACAGGATTCCTCCCTGCCCTGCATGGACTGCCCACACAGCAAAGACCAGGACAGCAAGGACCAGGCAGCAGGTGGAGTAAATTAGAGCAGAGCTGTCACAGCACTGTCCATGGCACTGCAGTTCCCAAAGGAGCATGGCTAGAGCTGTTTCCAGACCCTCCTGTGAGCCTGGAGTGTGGCACTGGATCAAAGCATTCCGAGCAGCCACCCACAGCATCTCCCATGGATGAGAGAGGGAGATTCCTGCCCTGCTCTGCACTGCTCCTCAGGAATCCGAGACAGATCCCATCCCAATCCTTGCAGGATGGAGCAGTTCCTCTCAGCACTGTGTCCCTGCTGTAGAACTGGGGCAAGCAGGTGGCTCTAAGGGGAGAGTGGCTTATCATTAGGAAATTAAAGCCATTTTCCCACCTCTGGTTGGTTCAGTTCGTGGAATTCAGGTGGGTGAGGCTCTCCCTGCCCAGTACTGCAGCTCTGCTCACCCCAGAGGTGAAGGGCTCAGGCTGCTGCCAGATCTCAGGCACTTCCCAACCTCCAAGGCTGTTTGCCTGTCTCCAGGCTGAGTGTTGGTCCCATTCCTGTCAGGAGCACATTTGGAAAGCCACAGGAAAACCAATTGGCTTTGGATGGTTAATGAAGCTTCTTTTCAGGCTCTGCAACCCCCTGAAACTTTCCTTAGGTGTCCCACACACCTCTCCAGCCTTAAAAGGCCCTTCCAGACATATCTTGAATTGGCTTAGAATAAAAACAATACTTAGCCCCGGGTAAACATGGATCTGTTTGATTTCTACCTCCCAATAACAGCGAGTTGGCTCCACTCTCTTCTCACCAGTCTCGGAGCAGAGAAAGCTAGGAGGTCTTTTTCACCCATGAGAGGGGAAACAGTGTGATTGCACCTTCCAATTTCAGTTCACACAGGGTTCTCCTCCCTCCCTGGTCCAGCAGCCACATTAATATCCCTCTCCTTCCTTCCCCACGCTTCCCCCAAACCTTACCTGCAGATCATTTCTCAAACACGTGGCTGTTCCTGGGGATAATGCCATAACCTGGCAAAGCACTAGGGGTTGGGTATGGTGTCTGGTGTTTCCTCTCCCCAGATCTGATGTCCAAAGGGGATCAGCTCCATTCTGGAGCTGCAGAGTGAGGAGAGACATCCAAGACAGGCTGTGGATCCCACAGTGTCAGTTGGTGTTGAGCTGTTGGCTGCAGGGATGGGAATTCTCCACTCATCCAAGGGTTTGTCCCCAAGCAAACACCTCATTACAAAGAGCTGCCTCAATGAGACTGTGGTGGATTATTGCTTCTGAATGTTTGGCTTGAAGAAGTCTCTCTCTTTCTCCATCTCCTGATTTGGTATCTAACAGACTTCAGGACTCCATCGTGCATTTTCTTCTCCTTTGTAACTGGAGTTGTAGTCAAAGGTTGTTTTTATACAAAGCCACTGTGGGGAGATGCACATATTGATCTTCATGCTTGACACCAACCCCAAGTTCTCTGTGCACACATCAGTGGCAAAATGTACTGAACACTTTGAGGTCTGAACCTGTGCTCAGCCCTTGTATCCTGGTCACTTGTCCCAGCACCTGCTGCCAGGGGATTGCAGCAAATAAACATCAAGTTGGTCATAAAAAAAACTCTTGTTCAGCTCTGGAACATCCATGGGCAACATGGAAAGTAAACTAATGAGACTTACTTGGCATGTGGCTGCTCTTCCAGCATCCCAGGGATGTGTTTGGATGCTGGTGAGTTCCAGGAGCACGGTCAAAACCATTAGTGTGAGCTTGGAATTGGGCAGAAAGCTTGGAGGGAATGGGTCCAGGGAGGGCACAGCAACCAACTGCCAGCCCAGCTCTGCAGCCCAAAGGCACTTGAGGAAGAACTCACTAAAATCATTTGTTCTACTGACTTTTTGAAGAGCTCACTTGCCACATCACTCACTGTTCCCTCTGCTTATGGCTATGGGGGGGGGCAGCTGTTTAAAACTCAACATTCCTTTAGATTCTTATCTGAAGGGGGGGGAAAAGTGTGCTTTCTAATTGCATCAGCTAAAACTTGGTTTGTCAGAGCCAACTGTGCTGGTCCTGTGCCAAGAACAGGAAGGTGTAGGATGAGGGGAACTGATCTCGTTACTACTGTCAGACACCACCAGGGCCACGACAGCCACACACCCACAGCCCTGCTGAGCATCCCAAGAGCAGCATTGGACATTCTGCAGCAAATCTAACCCCCTTAGTGCAGCTCTTGGGGGTTGAACTCCAGAGTTTCACTCTGCTGTAGCTGCTTAACAGCAAACTGAGACAGTCACGGCCCCAGTCGGGCAAGGAGATTCGGCTCCGAGAGGACGTGATGTTCTGTGGGCTGAAACAGCCTCAAACCTCTTGTCCATGACTCATGGGATGTGGTTTCCATCACTCCTCTTGGTGCACTCGCTGAGATGGAGATGACTTGCTGAGCTCTGCGTGTGGAAGCTGAAAACCAAGTCTTGGCTTAAGTTTCTAGGGAGACAGAGGGTCTGGAGTCTGAGGTTCAGAGATGGAAAGGCCACAAGAAGGGTGAGGAGTTGGTGATGGTGAGCAGAGGGATGGAAGAGGGAGAAAGAAGGCAGATAACAAGTGGCTTTGCACTGTCAAACCTATCCATGGACATCCCAGTGCCTCCATTCCCTCCAGAAGCTCCACAGTGTGCTGGGAGAGAGAGAATCCAGCAGCAGCACCAGAGACATGGGGCAAATCAACCCTCAGAGAATTTGTGTGGGGCTGGGAGGTCCTTCCAGCACACAGAGAGGTCCATAACTCCTGCTCAGGCCACGGGTGTGCCGAGCTGCCCGCGCTGCAGCTCCGCGTCCGTGGGCTCCGTGTCCCACAGGCTGACGGAGCGGGCACGGGTGGCTGAGGGGACATCCCTGCCTGCCAGCAGGCTGGGATCGTTCCCCAGTGCTCCAGACTCCACTGAGTCAGTCTCAGCCTGCAAAGTGAGGACGTTCTTGAGGGAGGTGGCTGCGCGGGGGCCGCTGTTGGAGTTCCTCATGGAGAGGGAGATGGCACTGGGCCGCGGCTCCCCCGCGCGCCGGCAGCAGGGCAGGAACTTGCCCATGGCTCTCTTGAAGTCCCTCATGAAGAGTGGGTAGATGATGGGGTTCATGGTGCTGTTGCAGTAGCCCAGCCAGGTGAGCACGTCGAAGAAGCTTGGTGGGACACAGCCACAGACAGCCTGGAGGGGACACAGCAGGGATTAGCAGCATCTCCCACCTCAGCCCCCATCCAGAGTCATTTCACAACATTCCCCTTTCAAAGGAACATCTCCAATCCCTTTTGAAAGGTTTTGCCTTGCTGTTCCTCCTTGAGGAAATGGTATCTCTGGTCCTAGAGGCTTCCCAGGAAGATCTCAGGTGCAGGACCTCACCTTGCAGGTGCCTCAGATTGAATCCAAACGGATTCCAAAGGAAAACTCAACACGTGCTTACCTGTGCCACGTTGGTGATGAAGAAGGGGAGCCAAGCCACAAAGAACATGCCCAGAAGGATGCCCAGAGTCAGGCTGGCCTTCAATGCCTTCTTGCTGTGCTTGTTGGCGAACCTCCTGCTCTCACTGCTGGCCATGGGCTGGCTCGGGGCACAGGGAACCTGCAGCAGGAGGTGGAGGGTGAGTCTACACCAGCACCAGCCCAAGGAAAGTGGTGTTTGGTGCTGCAAATCCTGCAAAAACCTCAGTTTATTCCCTTCTCCAAGGGGCAGGAGGGGACACACGTCTCAAGCCACAGATCAGGAAGAGGAAGCAATAGAAACCCTCAACGTTGAGAAGATCATCATGATGTTTTTCTTGTTGTTTTCTAAGCTGTTCTTGACAGAAAACCAAGCTCAGTCCGTGCCATGGTGAGGATAAAGCCTTCCCTAAAGAGGCATCTCTGCTGCTGATTACAGCAGCAAACTAATTACATTTTCAAAAGCAGGACGTGAAGCTTTTCAGCCCACGAACACCGTGCTCAGCCCTCCATCCCCTCCTGCTGTCTGAAATTAACTGATTATCTCAGCTTTCTGCTGTAATTAAACAACACCCTCTTGCCACTCAGCTTCCTGCCCAAAAAGAGAACAAAATCCTGGTTAAAAAGGTGAGATTTGAGGGTTCTCTGGCTGACACCTCAGGGTTCCAAGGAACCTGTGACCTCAGCTGAAAGACAGGGGTGGATGTTGTTTTTCCACAGCACAGCAAAGCCCCTGAGCATCCCCAAATTCCCTGAGCAGGGCAAGGGGTGTGTGTGGAGTCCAAAAATGTGGAGAAAAATAAACATTTTATGATATTGCCTGTTTATTCTGTGATTCTCCTTTTCCTTTAGACTGCCTGGTACTACTATCATGCTCTGCCCAGAGTCCTGGCTCTGCTTCTTGGAGTGAACAGACTAAATCAAGGTATTTAAAGGCAATTAAGTTTGCATTCTCCCTGGAGGATATGAGGTCAATAAAGCCTATTACAGGGAATTAAAGCCGTTAGATTTAGTGGCAATTACCTTCTCCTGGAGAAATACAAACAGGTTTTGGTTATAAAACCCCCACACATACAGAGAGGGTTTGCAGATCCTGTTATAGCCCAGGTGACAAAAATAGAAACTTCTGTTCCAAAGAAGGTGCTCTGCAGAATTTGGCATTTGCTATTATTTAAAATCCTTCTTCCCCCATGTGTCTCACACCCACCACAGCCAAGATTTACGAGTGGAAAGTCAGATAAGATTAAACCCCCAGGGGATGACACCAGCCAAAGAGAGAGGCAAAACTGCCTTTATTTTGCATCTCTGAGCAGTTTTGCCTGAATCTTATTTATTTCTCTACCTCTGCTCACGCTGTTCCTGTGCTCCTCAGCAGCTTCAAAGCTCTCCATTGCTGGGAGAAGACATGAGGCACCTCAGAGGACGTCAGGGAGGTGGATTTAGCTCAAATTCTCCCTCTCTGCAGGGTCAAAACCCTTTGCCAGCTCCATCCCTGAAGGCAGCAACACCTCAGGCACCTAAATTGTGGTGCCTGCAAGAGCAACACCCCTGTGGCCACCTTACCTGCAGAGTGCTCTCATCAGTGGTGGTGGTGGTGGTGGTGGTGGCCACGGTGGAGGTGAGGGAAGCCACCTGCACAGCTTGTTTGCGCGCGGCCAGGAGGATGCGGCAGTAGGTGAAGGAGATGGCAGCAGATGGCAGGAAGAAGGTGAGGCAGGAGGCCACCAGGGCATAGGGCAAACTGACCAGCAGCCTGCACTGGTCCTCATCCCCTCGGGAGGTGACGTTCAGGGACTGCACCTCAAACTCCAGCTTGTGCCAACCCATCTTGATGGGTAGGAAGGATGCCAGTGCAGCCAGGCTCCAGGTGGCCAGGATGAGCCAGAGGGCCCTGCAGGAGGTCATCCTCAGCTTGTACTTGAGGGGGGAGATGATGAGCAGGTAGCGGTCGAGGCTGATGATGCAGAGGTTGAGGATGGAGGCACTGCAGCACATGACATCAAAGGAGGACCAGAGGGAGCAGAAGTCTCTCTGCAGCACCCAGCGGCCGTAGAGCTGGTTGAGCATGGCTGGGGGCATGACCACCAGCCCCACCATCAGGTCTGACATGAAGAGGGACACCAGGAAGTAGTTGGAGGTGTTGCGGAGGGAGCGCTGCGTGACGATGAGGAGGATGAGGAGGAAGTTCCCTGCCGTGGTCAGCAGGATGATGAAGCAGAGGAAAGCAGCCACCCAGCTGCTCCCTGCCAGCAGTGAGTGCTCCCCCAGCACACTGGCATTGGGGGTCCCCAGCTCACCCTCCATGAGGTGCTGGGGCTGGGGGGATCTTCTCCAGCGTGGCCTGTGCTAGGTGATCATCACCAGAACCAGCTCCAGGAGGACCATCTCTCCCCACGCTGTGTCTGTCCTCCTTTCTCCTCTCCTCTTCCTGTCCTTCTCTTCTCCCACTCTCTCTCTTCACTGGCACTCAGGGCAGAGTGACATTCCCAGGAGCTGATCAGCAGGAGCAAGTTTCCCTCCCTGTTACTCACAGCCTTGTCCCTGCAAATCCCTCTGCTCTGGGATGTCCTTGGATGCTGCTTCTGGATGCTGGGGGAGAGCTGGATGGCAGGATACTTAAGATGCCAGGGATGATCCGGATGGCAGGCTGTTCTGGATGCTCTGATGCTCTGAATGAGCAGGACCAGGGAATAATCTGGACCACGGGATGCTCCAGATGCTCTGTACTCAGGATACTTCAGGTGCTGGGGATGCTCTGGATGCAGGATACTCCAGGTGCCAGGAGTGCTCTGTCCCCAGGATACCCTGATTGCTGGGGATGCTCTGGTCTCCAGGATGCTCCAGGTGCTGGGAATGATGCAGGATACTCCAGATATCAAGGATGCTCTGTCCCCAGGATACCCTGATTGCTGGGGATGCTCTGGGCTCCAGGATGCTCCAGGTGCTGGGGATGCTCTGGATGCAGGATGCTCCAGATGCCAGGGATGCTCTGTCCCCAGGATACCCTGATTGCTGGGGATGCTCTGGGCTCCAGGATGCTCCAGGTGCTGGGGATGCTCCAGCCCCCGAGGCTCAGCTCTCATGCCCCAGCCGGGCTCGGCTCCCTGCAGAGCTCTGTCCCCGAGCCCCGCTGAGCTTCTCCGTGCCCGAGCTCTGCTGCTGCTGCAGCCGGAGCCAGCGAGGAGAGGCAGAGCCGCCTGGGGCAGGGACCGGGATGGTGCTCCCAGCCGAGCTCGCCCGGGAGGAGGAGGATGCAGCACTCCGGAGTGTGGGAAGGGATCTCTCCCGCGGCAGAGGTGCGTCCAGCATGTGTGTGTGTGTGTGTGTGTGTGTGTCTGTCTGTCTGTGTGTGCAGGTACCACCCAGACTTTTACCTGCTGTTCTGCGATGCACAGAAGAGGATGCAGAAATGCCGATTCGGAGGAGGTGGGGCTGGGGGAGTGGAGGAGATGAAACGAAACACTAATGGAAACAGGGATTTGGGCTAAACTCCACGAAGTGGCAGGCAGAGAGTTCCCTTTTGTGTCTTAAAGAGACAACCAGCCCTGTGCCCTACCTGCCCTGTGCCCGTGCCAGGGCTGGAGCCTCTGTGCTCACCTGGCAGGTGTGCCAGCAGCACCGAGTGCCAGGCTCCATCCTCCATGCCAGGTGAAACCAAGCAAAATTTTGCAAAGCCAAACGAAAACCTAACAAAACCTGCACACAGCAACCCTCAGGAAGGAGCCAGAGGCATCACAAGGACTGATATTCCAGCAACCTGCAGCCAGGGATGGAGAGGGAGCAGAGCCAAGGGAAAAGATTCTGGTCTGGCCCCTCTGTTCCAGGGTTGTTTGGGCTGCTCTTTGCCTGAGGAGCAACCCTGGTTGGACCCATGGCAATTTGCTCTTTGGCAAGTGGGAGGCAACATGTGATAGGACCCAGTGGGTCCTGCTGGTGTCTCCATCGCTTCTAGCTCAGAAAACACTTCTGAGTGTCTGTTGGGTATCCTGTGCTGTCACCTCCACACATCAGAGCCAATGCCTCAGGGTGCTGGGCAGGGACAGATTTTGGACACTGCAGCTATCCAAAGGTGTTTTTTTTCCCCTGCAAATGGCTGTGATTTCTGTTGTGAGGAGACCAGAGCCAAGGGCATAGCTCCAGCACAAACCAGAGCTCTGTGTGTGTCTCTCTGTGCCCCTGGCACCCACCACTGTGCTCACAGGGCCAGGCACTGCTGCTGCCTGGTCCTCCCCAAGCCACCACCAAAGCTTTCCTTAACACCCTTCCCCTGGGAAGTTGTGTGGGTGAGTGCCAACTGTGCATGAGACACATCCCACTGCACCCCCAGAGCTGTCTGTGCTGCCCAGGCACCCACCCCAGTCAGAAATTGTCTCTTTACCAACTCTTTCTTTTCCAATCCCCTCTCCAACACTTTGTTTTGCTTTTCCCAGTGGCTGAATGAGCATTTCAGGTCTGGAAACCATCTCTGAGCAAGGGACAGGGGAAAGGCAAGGCAGAGCTCACCCCCATGCAGAGACACAGCCCATGGCCCCCCAGGATCTCCGTGCAAAGCTGCTCACTGGGAAACAGCTGCTGTCACTCGTGCCAGGACAAGCTCTGCCCTCCCTTTGCTATCCCAGGACCCTCTCCTTGGATGCTCCCAGCCAAACCTCCTGTGTCCTGGCAGGCTCCCAGGGCAGAGCACGCACACACAAGGCTCTGATCGCAGCAGGAGGTTTCTTTAGAGCACTGTTTGCACCAGGAAAGCTTCACTTCCTCAGCACATCTGTGCTGAGAGAAGCAAGAAACCCCACCCTGAGCCCACCCTGTGGCAGCCTCCCCAGCCAGGATAAATTAAGGCAGCAGCACAGATTTATCCCAGCTGGATCCATGCTAGTGCTCAGCTAGGAAGGGATGCCAGAGTGCAGAGCTGGGCTGCCCTCTCAGCCAGGCTGCACCCCAACATTGGCCATCACAGGGCTCTCAGGTAAACTTCCCTTCCTTGGGAAGACACTTCACAGCCTAAAAATGTCATGTTAACACACAGGACACCACCAGCCCTGCCAGGTCCTTCCTGTTCAGCTCATCCCCTTCGTTGTGGCAATTGCTGCCTTAAAGCAAATCCTCTCCTGCTTTCCCACCTGGAGAGCTACTGCCAAAGCTGTAGAGAGCCCCCAGAGCCCAGGACTCAAAGAGAGGAGGCAATAAGAGCTGGTCTCAAACAGGGGGGCAGTAAGAGCTGTCTGCTGACATGGCACAGCCTCCTGCCCCTGTGGGAGCTGATGGGACCTGCCCCAGGGTCAGGCTCAGACAAAAATGATGCTCAGAGCATCACTGATGCCCCCAATCCTGGCAGTGTTCACAGCCAGGTTGGCTAAAGCCTTGAGCAACCTGCTCTGGTGGGAGGTGTCCCTGCCCAGGGCAGGGTGTTGGGGCTGGATCATCTCTAAGCTCCATCCCAACCCCTAAAATTCTATTATGGTTTCTAAGGGCAGAGCCACACTGGTCTGGCATCAGTAGGACCAGAGGTTTGCAAGGGAACACACTGCCCTGCCCAGGGAACTCTTGATCCAAACACCCTTGGAAAGAGCCCAGTGTTTTCACCCAAGCTGCTCAGCCCTTCCTCACCCACGAAGAGATGCCCAATCCATGTCCAAGATCGCCTGTCTCTGCTGCAGAAGCTCTCCTGGAGGCACTGAACATCTGGATGCCACGAAACGCGCTGATCGACAGTGTCACCTAGTGGCAGCAGAGCTGGAGAAGGTCGCGTGATCCCACAGACCTCACGCACTTCCCACACAAGTGGGACCCAAGAGCCCAAACCCTCCAGGCTGCAGCGACACGAGCCCCTGGGTGCACCCACGCCTGGGGCACAGCTGCTGTGCAGGCTCCCCGTGCCACATGCCGCCCAGATGCTGAGGGTTTGGGGTCGGTTTTCCTTTTAGCAGGTCTCCCTCCTCCTCCTCCTCCTCCTCCTCCTCTCAACTGGAAGGCAGCAGAAAGCTGCTGGAACCACAGCTCTCCCCTGCCTTGGAGCCTCCTGCACTGCTGTCTGTCCTGTCTGGTGTCCTGGTGTCAGTGTCCCTTGTCAGCACTGCCAAAAACCAGACAGGCATCAGAGCACTGAGGAATGGAAATCAGAACTAATTTATTTAAGAAAAAAAAAAATATACCCCAAAACTTGTCCAAAGGAGGGGAAGGGGAGGCATCGATTACAAGCTCTGGAAGCTCTTGTCAGGACAGCGCCAAAGAATCAGCTTTATACAGCAGAGAGAGAGGGGAGGCAGGAGGGGCCCAGGGCTGTGCCTCTCCCTGAGCCCCCCAGCCCTGCACCAGCAGTCCCTGCACAGCCACATCAGCATCTCAGCACCCTTCTCCCTCCACCAGCACTAAAGTGCAGCAGGGAGAGGGGGCACAGGGCTGGCTCCCACCCAGCCTGCCCTTGGCCTTCCCCTGCCACCAGGAAACATGAAGCCTCAGTGCCCATGGCATGATCCAGGTCCCTCATCCCCCAAGGAGCTACGTTGGTGGCCCTGGGGACAGCAAGGGAAGGGCTGTCACCACCATGGTTCCCAGTCAACCTCACACATGCAGCCCCAGAGGCACATCCTGGGGTAAAACACTCCCCAAGAGTTACCTGATTTGAGGGGCTGGGGTTGAACTGAGACCCAGAAGGTGCCAGGAGGAACAGCAAGTCCACACTGAGCCCATGTGCCCTGCAGGGAGATGGGAGGATGAAGGGATGGATGCTGCTGGACCCAGGAGAGATGTGCATCTCTCATGGGACTGTGGAGATGCTGCATCCCTTCTTCCTCCACCCTGGGCATGAGCCACTATAAGAGAAAGCCCCAGGAGGACTCCACACAGGTCCAGGAGCTGCAGATATCTCCTGGGAGTCTAACTCAGCCCCTGCTCTCAGCCAACCCCCCTCACCTGCATTCCCACCCCTCTCAATATATTATTACTATTATGTGCAAGTAGTTTTGCATCAGAAAACACCAAGCCCTCACCTCTCCCCCTGCAGCTCCATCCCTCAGCCCTGTGCCTCAGAACCTTCCTCCAGCCTCGGGGTGTGGGAGAGCAAAGCGTGAGGGTTTGCTATTAGACAGGAAAGACTCCACCACCCCCCTCCCTCCCCAAGCCCCAGCCCTCTCTGTCCCCCTGCCAGCACAGTCCACAGGGGCCAGGTCACTCCTCGCCCTCCTCCTCGTGGTGGTGGTGGCTGGAGGCAGGAGGTTCCTCCACCTCCTGCTGGTGGTGGGTGTAGTGGTGTGGGCTGGGGCCCTCGGCTGGCATGTTCTCCTCGGCGTTCAGGTAGACGTTGAACAGAGCTCCCTCGTGGCTTGGCTCCTTCCCACACGCCTGGCAGCTGCAGTGGAGGATCTTCTCCACCAGTTTGTCCACCCTGGGGATCTCCTCGTTGCCTGGACAGTCCAGTGTCACCTGGGCAGAGGGATGAGGACACGGAGTGAGTGTGGAGACCCAACGCTCGATGGCTGTGCTGTGGTGGGAGGACTGAGCTGCCCCGTGCCCTGCAGATTTGGGGGGTTTTAAGACAGAAGTGATGGGTTTCTAGCCACAGAAATCAACCTCCAGTCAGTCTGCAAGGTGAGAGTTCTCTGGGAATGTCTCACAAGCTGCAGTGTCTCAGGGAAAATCACAGAATCATCACGGGTGGAAGAGACCTTCAAGATCATCAGGTTCAACTGTCAACTCACCCCTAAACCATTTCCACAAAAGGTCACATCCAGAGACGGTGACTCCACCACCTCCCTGGGCAACTGATTCCAATTCCTGATCACTCTTGCAGTGAAATTTTTGTTCTACTATCGAATCTGAACCTCCTCTGGTGCAACTTAAGGCCATTTCCTCTCATTCTTTCACCTGAGACGTGGCAGAAGAGACCAACCCTCACCTCACCCCAACCTCCTTTCAGCACTGACTCCATCAGGACATCACTCCCAGACACCACAGGGATATCAGTGTGATGGCAAAGGCCACCTACAGAACATGATGCAGAGCAGCTCAGGTAGCTCAGACTAAACCCTCTGATCAAATGTGAGCTGAAAGCAAAGCCAAGAGCCAAGCTCAGTTCCCTGGGGGCTAAGCTTCCCTTGGAAGTGGTTTTTATGGCTCTGCCAGGATCAATGGAAACACAGAACTGTGAGGTCTGAGGGTGACTGGCAGTGGGAGGCACTTCTGGACATCAAACACAGCAAAACTTCCCAAATGGGAGCAGGTGCCAAAGGGAGTGGTGGAGAGAGCAGGAACGTGGGATGAGCACAGGGATGAATAATGCAGGGACTGACAGGGGATGGTTCTGCAGACAGTGATAAATGCATCACTCAGCACTGCAGTCACGTTGATTCCGCAGCTCCTTCAGCCAGGGAATCTCCAGACAGGGTACAGTCACCTGAGGGACACCCTGGAAGGAAACTGTGAGTGGAGAACCTCAGGGCAGAGGAACTTGCCCTGCAGTGGTGGCAGAGCAGTGCAGAGCTCCTGAGTCTGCCCCAAGGAGCAGGCAGAGATACTCACGATTTCCCACATGGACTGGGCTGGCATGCAGGAGTCGCAGTGAACCAGGGACTCTGTGGACTGGGGGAAGGTGTTGGGGACACTGTAGCTGAAACACTGTCCCAGACAGGCCCTGCAAAGACAACAGGAGGGTTGGGAGCTCAGGGGAGGATCCTGCTCTTCCCAACCAAAACAGAAGGAGATCTGACCTTCCACTGAGACAGGCAGAGGCAGCCAGGCAGGGGCAGGACCTTGTGCTTGGCTTCTTGGGCAAGTGACAGTCCCCAGAGCCTCTCCAGTGCCACCAGCTGCCTCCAGCCCTGCCCTGAGGGCAGATCCATACCTGTTCTGGATGGATTTGGACTCGCAGCCACTGTGCCCCACGATCTGGGTGATGTTCTTGGCCTCGCACCAGGCACTCTTGTCTGGGAAGAGGGCGAGTTTGTTGATGGGAGGTGGAGCAGCCAGGAGCAGTGCTGGGAAGAGGGCACCAACCACAAACCATAACATCATGGCCAGCTCTGCCAAAATCCTACACCTGCACACAGAGAGCAAAGCATTAGCAGGGAAGAAAACAGGCAAACCAGTTCATTTCTCCAACCCCATGGGAATTCTTGGTTGTGACAGGCACAGGTACATCCTCATATCTCCCTCTTCTTTGCTTCCCAAAGCACTGCATGGGGAGTGGGACATGCTGCTCTGCCTCTTCCCTCTTCAAAGCAAGCTCTGGATTACCTCTCCCAGGAACAACAGAAGACTTGTCACCATTTCCCACTCAAAGCTGTGCTGGGACAAGTTTGCAAACCAAAAGAATCACTACCACAGGCCAAGCAAGGACCACAGAAATGTTGCTGGGGAAGGAACAAGCTTCCCCACTTCCTTTTCTCCCACCTTAAAAGCCAAAGTTGGCCTTGCTGCAAGACTTCCCAGGGGAAAGGGCAGGAAAACCTCTCTCCTCCTGGACGTGCGCAGCAGGTGTCGCTGCAAGGCAGCAGCACACAGGGACACGTGGAAACCTCAATCCAGAGGCTGGAAACCCACAGGAAAGCCCAGTACAGCATCTATTTTTATAGAGTCGCTCAGATTCTGCAAAGGGTGACTCCGAGGATGGGAATTCAGGCTGCAGACAAGGGGAGGGACTTTGAGTAACAAGCACAAACCTCACTCACAAAGGTGGTCAGCTTGGAGGTCACTTGCCCCCCCCCAGAGAAATCCCACGTGGGGTTTCCATGCTCTGCTCTCCAGCCAAGGTGCCTGAATTAACACTCCCAATCACTGGGGAAAGGCAGATGGAAAGGCATCATAGAAACAGGGGAATGTTTTCCTGTGTAGGGTTTGGATGGAGTCATGGGGAAAGGCAGACGTTTGTACTTCCTAAAATATTTGTTAGAACCATGTTATTTGTTATTTCCTTCTATTTATTTATCCAGACAACGATCCAAAGCCCACACTGGAAAGACTCCTGTTGATTCCCATGGCTCCTGGGCCCAGCCCTCTAACATTTGCTGGGAAGGAGAGGAAACATGCCTTGTTCCTCAGACTCTGGTGTCTCCAGTTGGGCGTTCCCGGTCGCTCCCTCCAGTCCTCACCCACACACCCTGGGCTGGAGGACCACCACACTTACCTACATGACTGAGACACCCTCCTAGGCACCTCTCACAGCTCCAGCTCAGGGATTTTAAGGTCATTATAAGGTTTTGCCCTGTTATCCCTCCACTGAGCCCAACCTCCTGGATCTGGACCACGAGAGAGATGAGAGATGCTTTCCAATACTCCACAGCAGCCAGGAAAGAGCATCCTCATTTGTAGGATCTCTGGAGAGATAAGGTGGGGTCTCTGCTAAATTTTCTTGTGGTACAGGAATATTAATGGTATAACAGCAACACCTGCACAGCCCTGGCTTCCTAATCCACCAGCACATGTGGGATGTGAATCCCACAGGTCCCTGGTGAGAATTCCTGCACCAAGTCAGGTTTGCAGGTGTTGGCTGGAGATAAGCAGAGGGTTTAACCCCTGAGCTTGCACTGCCATTAATGAGAGCCATGGGGTTAAATACATTTGTCCTGAAGATGACTCTTAGGACTTACTTCTGCTCCCTGAATATTTTTTTCCAGTTCAGTGGGGGAATTCTGCAGTTGCTGGAAGAAGAACCAGGCTCAGCTGCACACACACACTTGGTTTGCCTGGTTTTCTGAAAGAAGCATCACTCATTCCTCAAATGCCAGCAGCTCTGTGCTGAGGAATCCCACTCCCAAAGGCAAGTCCGAGATCAGAGCTGGGATGTGACCCAAACAGCAATCACAACCCCCTGGGGAGCAGCCGAAATTCCTCTGGAGTCAGCACACAAGTTCACTTCCACATGCCTGATTAGGGAGCAATTTCCTTCTTTCCTAAGAGAGGTGGTGGCTGGTTTTTCTCCAGGGTTCTGTGCATCTCTACCCAGCAGCAAAGAGATAAACATTCCTGTCTGTGCTAAGCCCTCCTTCCCTGGGAACTTTTATTCTCCTGCAGGGAGGTGTTCAATAGAGAGATGTTTCTGCAGGGCTGGTCAGAGCAGTCCCATTGCCAGAGGCATGAAGGATCATCTCAGAGCATCTGTGCTCCTGTGAGGAAGATGAGTGAGGTTGTGCTCTGCTAAAGCACAGGACCTGGCCTGGATTCAGGAAAGCACTTAAACATATGCTTTAAGCCTTCTCCTTTCCTGAGCAGGGATGTGTTTGTAACCAGGGCCCCCAGCAGCATTGTTGCTGGTCCAGTTTGCAGAGGGGTGGTTGGAGAGTAGGGGAAAGAGACACTTTTACAGAGCTGGAACAGGACAACAAGGGACCTCTTCAGAGTTGGAACAGGGAAACCAGGTACCTCTAGAGAGCTGGAGCAGGGAAATTGGGAACCTCTAGGGCAGAGGAATTGGGTGCTCTTACAGAGCTGGAGCAGGAGAACCAGGTACCCCTACAGCAGGGGAACCAGATATTTCTTCAGAACTGGAACAGGGTAACCAGGTACCTCTTCAGAGTTACAACAGGGGAACCTGGTACCCCTACAGAGCTGGAGCAGGGGAACCAGTTACCCTTACAGCAGAGGAACAAGATACTTCTTCAGAGATGGAACAGGGAAAATAGGTACCCCTGCAGCAGGGGGACTGAGCATCCCTTCAGACCTGGAGCAGGGGAATTGGGAACCTCTAGAGCAGAGGAACTGAGTATCCCTACAGACCTGGAGCAAGGGAACCAGATAAACCTACAGCAGGGGAACTGAGCATCCCTTCAGACCTGGAGCAGGGGAATTGGGAACCTCTAGAGCAGAGGAACTGAGTATCCCTACAGACCTGGAGCAAGGGAACCAGATAAACCTACAGCAGGGGAACTGAGCATCCCTTCAGACCTGGAGCAGGGGAATTGGGAACCTCTAGAGCAGAGGAACTGAGTATCCCTACAGACCTGGAGCAAGGGAACCAGGTACCCCTACAGCAGAGGAACTGAGCATCCCTTCAGACCTGCAGCAATTCCAACTCTCCCCCACTCTTCAGGGCACACAAGTGCTGAGCACTACTATCCCCCTGGGGATTTTGAAGCCTCGATCAAACCACATCCACACCACACGGTGTTTTCCTTCTGCCCTGGAACCCACAGGGCTACATCTCTAGTAAGCAACAAGGTTTATGCCAGTGCCTTGGAAAACATCTGCAGCTGAGTTTGGGAGGGAGCCGGGCTGGAAGCAGCGTGTTCGCTGGCAGAGCTCAGTCATGCGGACAGAGCTGCCACTAAAGCCATTCATCTGACAGCAGCCACAGGCTCAGAGACAAAAGCACCGTGTTCCTTTCTCCCCCCTCCCTCCCCGGGCTGGGAAGGGAAGGGAAAAAGGAAGACAAGGCACCCGAGCAGGTTTGCAAACTGCCGATTAAATAAAGGCATTGAGCACATTCCTCCGTGACAAGCTAAATTACACGTTGCGGCCCCGAAAGGACCGAGCGCTCGGCGGTGCTGACCCTGCTCTGCCCTGCCCCGCGCACAGCGGCTTCTTTCTCCTCCCCGCACAGGGTTTTTGTTTTTTTTTTTTTTCCTTGCTAGTCAAAGCTCTTCAAGCAGAAAGTTCAGCTCAGTTCCGGCAGAACCACCAGCCCGTGCGGGTCTCCCCCCGCTGGCTCTGCAGGGAGCCGCGGCAGTTTCCTTCGCCATCCCCTGGGCACAAAACTTGGGAAAGCAAATGACTCAGCCCTCGAGCCTGGCACATCCCGAGAGCTCCAGAGACAAACAACTTCACAGCTGCAGACTTGTGGTGAGAGGCTCCGGAGCCCTTTTCCAGCCTGTCCCCATGCCCGAGGGGCAGAGGGGCAAAGTGTCCAAGGCTGGTGGGTCTTAGGGTACCAACTCACCACCCCTGGGGAGCCTGAGCTGAGGGGCAAACCATCCAAGGCTGGTGGGTCTCAGGGTACCAATTCATCACCCTTAAGGAGCTTGAGCTGATGGACAAAGTGTCCAAGGCTGGTGGGTCTTAGGGTACCAACTCATCACCCCTGGGGAGCCTGAGCTGATGGACAAAGTGTCCAAGGCTGGTGGGTCTCAGGGTACCAATTCATCACCCTTAAGGAGCTTGAGCTGATGGACAAAGTGTCCAAGGCTGGTGGGTCTCAGGGTACCAACTCATCACCCCTGGGGAGCTGAGCCAATGGCTCAGCTTCCCATGAGCCCAGTTTGGAGTTCTGTTGTTGCCACCTCACATGTGTTTTGTCACCTAGAAGAGCTCCTTCCCCCCATCCCAACAGTGCCAGGACTCTGAGGAGTCCCCCAAGCAGGATAACACCAACGCCTGGAAGCAGCTGGGAAAAGCTCCATCCTTACATCGGCTGGAGGACAATCACTGGAATTACCTCGGTGGCCTCGTTCCCACCATCCAGCCCACAGCTGTTCCTGGCCATTTGGAAACCAAACACTTCTGGAGGAAAATAAAACAGATCTAATCAGTTTTACCCTCTTTTTCCAGCGGGAAGTTTACACCATAACACAGGACAAGCTTGCAGGTGGACACGGGAACGTTTCGTGAGTAGTTTAATGTGTTTATTAGGTATTTTTCTTATCCAGGATCTTGCAATTCTGCCAAATCCATAAAAACCACAGACACAGGTAGATTGTGCTCGTGGCCACACACAGAGCATCCCAGGCCCTGAGAGGCAAGAACCCCCAAAGCCTTGCAAACATTGCTTAGCCAAGGCTCACAGCCTGCCAGGACAGCATGGAAGAGTCAGCTCCAGCTGCAGCTAAGGAAAACCAGGCACAAGGCTGAGAAATGGCCTCAGTGATCCCAGCCCTTGTGTGAGACACATGAGAACTCAGCACAGAAGGAGAAGGTGAAGGTTTCAGCTCCTGGTCTGGATCAGAGCTGGGACCTCTCCTGCCTCCCTGGACACAGAGTTGTCCTGCCCAATGGGACTTCCCACCCACCAGGCTCTCTCTACACCACACCAAGCTGCCAAAAGCAACCCCAAATTGCTATTAGACATGAATCACAGCAGTCCCAGGTCCTGCCTTTGTGTTCAACTGG